GTTTGCTGCACTGGGCTCCTTGGGGAGGAAGGGTGTGGTATTAATAATAATAGTAATAATAATAATAATTAATCTGTCATAATATGGAATTCTAAGGCCTGGGGGCATTTACTTACTTACTTACTTACTTACTTACAGTACTTACTTAAGCTACTTAAACTTACTTTATATACCTCTTAGCCACAATAGTCTCAAAGCAGTTTAGAAGGATACAATACAGATTGTTTTTGCTTTCTTTGTGTTTAAATTGTGCATTTGTTTGCCACCCTGGGCTCCTTGTAGAGGAAAGGTGGGGTTTAAGTTCAATTATAAATAAATTAATAAATAACCTGTTACAATAGCCTATATGGGATCTGAAGGCCTGGAGACATTTGTTTGTTTGTTTGTTTACTTAAACAATTTACATTGCTATCTACAATAGTCTCCTAGCAGTTCAGAAGGACGCAACACAAAGAGTAAAAACCCTTGGATGGTTCAAATAGAGACTTAATATCGTTTTTTTTAATGATATGAACAGTTTTAGTATCATCATTTATTCAATTTATTTTAAGCTTCCTGCTGCAAACGGAATCTTACGTAAACAAACAGATCATGACAAAATATCAAACAGATACAAATACTCTAAGGGCTGACATTTAAGGCAGCATACTTTACAGAAATACAAGATATTATTTTCTTGAACATTATAAAAGAAAATATTTGTGAAAGAGTTCTTGGAGCACCCCACAATTGCCTAACCTTGACTCCCATAGGTTCAGGTCAGGGGTCACAAGCGAGAGACTTCAGCCAGGTGATAACAGGCAAAACAGCGGCCTGTAGGCCTGATCTTTATTGTTGCAACAAGACTTTCCACTACCACAAAGACGAAGCAGCCAGAAGCCCTGATCAATCGTTACATCAGGTTTTTAAAAGTTCCCCAAATCTTCCCATAATGCATTTCCAGAAGCATCTTCAAGATATCATAGATATGTCACAGAACAGGTGTGGTCTCAGGTAGAACCTGAGATCCAGGCATGCCCCTGTCAATCAAATACAGCAGGGGTCGGCAAGGTTTACCTTGCCTGGGCCGGTTCACTCCAGTGGAGATCCTTCCGTGGGCCGTATTGCGTGCACCTGCTCACACGCGCACCTGCGATTTCCGGCATCTGCACAGACACGATTTTTGGCGTCTGTGCATGCACAAACGCAATTTCCGGCACCGTGGAAGAGAGTCCTCACGCTACACTGCGCTGGTTTAGCGCAGCAGGCGGGGATTTGCTGAGTGGGTGGCTTGGTTTGGGAGCGGCTCATGGGCCAGTTAAACGAACCCTGTGGGCCACTTGTGGCCCGTGGGCCTGAGGTTGCCTACCCTTGAAATACAGTCTTTCACATTTACTCCATCACAGTACAAAGGAAAGTATTTACAGTTGCTTGGTCCCTGAGTCAAGTCAAATGCACCCCTTTGTCTTGTCTGGTCTTCATCCCACTATGGGATGGGTATGCATTGTGACTGAGATGGTAATCTGTCTGACACTCTTGGGGCAGGATCAGGGCCAGATTTAGGTTTGATGAGGCCCTCAGCTACTGAAGGTAATGGGGCTCTTTATATGTCCAACAAATTCTCACTGTTTTTTGCGTTGAATATATGCTATACAGTGGTACCTTGGGTTAAGTACTTAATTCGTTCCGGAGGTCCGTTCTTAACCTGAAACTGTTCTTAACCTGAAACACCACTTCAGCTAATGGGGCCTCCTGCTGCTGCTGCGCCGCCGGAGCACGATCTCTGTTCTCATCCTGAAGCAAAGTTCTAAAACTGAAGCACTATTTCTGGGTTAGCAGAGTCTGTAACCTGAAGCGTATGTAACCTGAAGTGTATGTAACCCGAGGTACCATTGTATGGTAATTTATGGAAGTAATAGGTATCTAAAGCCATTTGCATATGTTGCCACGTAATTAGTCCATGTAGAATGTAGGCACCCTATATATAGAAATGAGCAAACCAGTGATATTTTAGGGAGCGGGCTAGCAGGCCCATTACTTACATCATAGGAGTCTACACAACACAAAACACTTTCTGTATGTAGGTTTTATTTTATTTGTTTTTTATCTCATATTTTGCAAATGTACACCCAGTTTTTCCCCCTTTATTTTTTGGGGGGCTCTGCAGAGAGTGGGGCCCTAAGCTATAGCTTGTTTAGCTTATACGTATATCCTGCTGCAGGATATCCCATTATGACTCCTTGGTGAGCCCCTGGGACATGACTGTGCATCTCAGGGATTATGGTGGGCTCACTCACCCCTCGCCTTACACCTCACTTCCCTGGGCCCTCAATGCCATTGGAACTGAGAAGATTGATACGAGTGATTTCTTAATGAATTTCTAAAATTTTCCCATTGAGCCAGTACGTAGATAGATTTATCAGCTACATTTGGTATTGACACACTCCCTGCTTTCCTCTGTTGGAGACCTGGGGCTCAGCCAGGAGTCTGGACTCCTGCAAACTGGGCTGAGCTTCCCTTGCAGATGCAATGCTTTTGCAGATATGTTGCTGTTCATTTTCTTGACATTATGGGCTCCGGTCAGGGTTCTGGAGTTTCTCATTCGGCAGGCACTTTGTGAATGGAGTTTTGAACCTAAACGAATGAGGTTTGGGTAATGTGCAGCGAAGACCCCCTTGTCCTTGCCTCGTGGTGAGGCAAGGCTTGGGGGGTAGGGCAGTCTCTCAGCCTCTCCCATCCAATTTCCCTGTAACACATTACAAATGAAAACCAAATGCCAAAATATGATAAAAATTCCAACATTATTAATGACTCAGCAAAAGGAAGAAAGAAACAGAAGTTGCACCGACATAATATGCTGGAGATAGTTCTCTAGTAACACTTCTTTATTTAAGCAACAAGACTGAGACTTGAGGAGGGGAAAGCTACATTTATAGGGACAGGGAACTAGCTAGAAAGGATACATTTCGGAGGGAACAATATCAGGCAATCACAGTCCTGCCTTTTGGAGGGAACCAATAAGACAGAGGATCCAAATACAGCAGCTTAAATGAACCAATAGTAGCTGTACCCTCTGGAACCAAAAGGCAGTTACTTTACCCTAATGCAAATACAGACAATAATAATACAGATATAAAATCCTTTGACTCAATACACAACAGCACCCACATTCCTCTCGACAAAAAGTTCTTTTCTTGTTATGAGCCATTTTCATTTTGACCGAAAGCTGGTGTAGAAATCTTTTTAAAATGCATTTATTCGACAACACCATAAATCTGGCTGCTCTATCAAACAAAAGCAAGTCCAAGAGAAAGCTTTATCCTGAGGCCTAGGGGTGCAAGAGGCAACTGAGTACTCTAATAATGTTATTTTTTGTTTGTAGAGTATTCCCTTAACACCCAGACCTGGCTATTGTCAAGAGACAAGAATGCTGGGTGAAATGGCGCTACTGGCCTGACCATTTAAGGTTATCCTGCCTTTTGGTTTCTGGCTTCCGGGGAAGCTGCTATTGTGCCACAACAATAAATTTAGCTCATTGACAACAGCAATAAATCTGTCCCAAATTGTTTGACTTGCTTAATCAGTAGCCCAGTTTCATGAAGCTACGGTGCTGTCACACAATGTTGTATATTTGATGCAGAGTTGCCTCCCAAATAGTCAGTATTTCATTATATCCTGTGAGGCATTTTTACAGTCTGACATCTAACTTGTTTTCATTCTATGTCACAATAAATCATGGCTCCTTAGGATTCTCTCATCTGCCACACTTCTCAACCCTCCCGCTACATGGATATTTGCTCAACAGAGACATACAGTACAGCTAACATACAGCTAAAACTCTCTGTTGTCAAACCCAAAGAAAGATTATTTGTCACAATAATTTATTTATACAAGTCTTTTTATTATTTGTATTTTGTCATGTGCAAGTAACACGAAGCAAGTTCTCATCTCACTTATCTACCTGGTTGGCTTTTATTTATTTCAATAATAATAATAATAATAATAATAATAATAATAATAATACTGTTATTATTTATATGCCGCCCATCTGACTGGGTTGACCTAGCCACTCTGGGTGGCTCCCAACAAAATATTAAAAACACAAAAAACATCAACATCAATTTATACATCGTTTTTAAGATATGTCCAAGGTATTTGGATTTTAAAGCTAGAAGATAAAAATCAAATCCAGAAAACAGATTTTTAGCTGTTACAGGCAGCCTTGTATTGGGACATTTTTAATGTTTGATATTTTATTATGTTTTTCTGTGTGTTGGAAGCTGCCCAGAGTGGCTGGGGCAACCCAGTCAGATGGGTGAGGTTTAAATAAAAATTATTAGAGGGATGGGAAACCCGTGACCCTCCAAATCCCATCAGTCCCAGCCAGCATGGCCAATGATCAAAGATGATGGAAGTTGTAATCCATCAATATCTGAAGGACCACGTCCCTGGGTTAAATAGTGTAATCTTATGCATATCTACAAGGGACACGGGTGGTGCTGTGGGTTAAACCACAGACCCTAGGGCTTGCTGATCAGAAGGTCAGTGGTTCGAATCCCTGCAACGGGGTGAGCTCCCGTTGCTCGGTCCCTGCTCCTGCCAACGTAGCAGTTTGAAAGCACGACATGCAAGTAGATAAATAGGTACCACTCCAGCGGGAAGGTAAACGGCGTTTCCGTGCGCTGCTCTGGTTTGCCATAAGCGGCTTAGTCATGCTGACCACATGACCTGGAAGCTGTATGCTGGCTCCCTCGGCCAATAAAGCGAGATGAGCACCGCAACCCCAGAGTCGGTCATGACTGGACCTAATGGTCAGGGGTCCCTTTACCTTTATGCATATCTACGCATAAGCAAGAGCTGCTGAATTCAGTTAAGCAGGTGCATGATCACAGCCAAAGTCTGAAAGTCTCCCTGGAAGAAGGACCAGGACAAAGAACCTTGCATGGCATTATTTGGATCCAGTCAAATAATAATAATAATAATAATAATAATAATAATAATAATAATAATAATAATAATATGCCGCCCATCTGACTGGGTTGCTCCAGCTACTCTGGGTGACTTCCAGCAGCACAGCAAAACATCCAATATTAAAAATATCTATAGTTTTTAATGAACATCTATAGTTAGTTTCATTCTGGGCCTACAGATATGGGTTCATTAGAATGGACCAGTTTTTGTTCCCACATACAACTTGGCTTGTTTGATTAGAGATTGGCTTTGTCCCTCATTCCACATTTCAACTAGGAAATATGTGGGAACTAGGGAACCGTTTTCTGGGTTAGTGGCACGGGATATGATGGCATAGTTGCTGTCACTTACCGGGCTGGGCTTGGCCAGCTTCCTTGAATCATCCTCACTGACTCCTCTATGGTTTACATTCAGTGCGGCACATTTGCAGTGTGGCACAGATGTGGCTTCCCTGAAGTTGCTCCAGTGACATTTGAATAACAGATTGCTTTTAGAATCCTATGAGCCATAATTGAATAATAATAATAATAATAATAATAATAATAAGGCTCAGCACTAGGTTTTGGGAAACCCTTTGTCATGTTATTGGATTGTCTTCTGCTAAAGCAGACATGGAGAACCCCAGAGTTCTTCACAGGCCACACCCCTCCTCATCGGCTCCGCTTCAAATCCTTGGCCGAAATGCATCCTCGAACTCTGGTGACTCTCGCTTGTCTGCATGGATGAGAGAGAGAGCTGTGCGAGTGTGTAGAAATTTTGCAAAGGTAAAACATTATATTCATAACTTCAACCCTTTTTGCCTCTGGCCCCATCTACCACTGTCATGTGATCTCCAGAAGGCCCTTGGTGGCTCATACCCAACACATGTAGGCAAAGGTTCTTACGTCGAAGTAAAAAAGGGATCTTTATTCCGAGGGTAACAGTGGACAGGTTGGGCAGTGGACTCAAGAGTCACAATTCAGGAGCTCAGGGATCAGGCAAGATGTTTAGGACTGGACAGAAGCCACTAAGGTTCCTCAATAATTTTCACACCCTGCCCACCAAGCATTTAAAAATGAGGCATGAGGTACTTAACTGGTGAGATTCACTTGCTTTGCGAGAATGTTGGGATTTCAGGGCAGGTAGATTCAAAGATGTAACAAGGTCAGGTGGTATCTGGTGCGAATTTTTTTTGTCACCCCCCCATTGCAATTTTTGGGAACATTGCCCAGAGTTTTTAAGGGAGGGTACCTAGCATCCCCGGCGGGCAGATTTTCGCGATTGGTGCAGTCGTCGTCATGACACCCGGGGCGGACCGCACCCCCCTTGTGATGCCCCTGGGTAGATCTGCTCCCACCTATGGAGAGCAATGTCTAGTTCTAGGAAACAAATTTGCCCCTCTCCTGAGACCAGGCCCCCCAACTGTCTCAATTTGATCAGGACGTCCCACAATTACAGAAGCCATCCCGGCTCCTGATTGGATCTCAGAATGTCCCACTTTTGGGTCTGCCGCGAGTCAGCTGATTGGCTGCCACGAGAGCTCAGGACCAAAAAAGAAGCAACCCAATTATGACCAGCAGGATGTTGGAGGGTATATGAGACTCTGTTAGAAGGTGGTGATGGGGGTGATGGCATCCCTGCTCCCCGTTCTGAAGTGGCTGAAGTCGAGGCACACTGCAGAGAGCCTCCCTCCTCTCACCCCAGTTCCCACTGATAATTAGCATCAATGTGAAAGAGATGTGCATGTGTCCAGATGTACATGCCTGTTCAGATGTATGTGGCCCCTTTACCTTGATGCCCAATATTTAGACAACAGGGGGAACTGTAGGGGCATGTGGTCCTGTTTCCTGCTCCCATGTTCATGAATTCAAACAGTCTGCATCTGTATTGGAATTGTTTTGGGATGGTTTAATTGCTTCACTGCTTGTGTGTTTGCCACCTTGGTCTCCTTTGGGAGAAAGGGTGCGATATAAAATTTAATAGTAAGAATAGTGAGATACACTGCCCTCTGGAAGTTATTTTAAGTTGCCCATAGAATGTGAACCAACACAGGACTTTAACCCAGCCAGTGTGGTGTAGTGGTTAAGAGCGGTGGACTCATAATCTGGTGAACCGGGTTCGCTTCCCTGCTCCTCCACATGCAGCTGCTGGGTGACCTTGGGCCAGTCACACTTCTCTGAAGTCTCTCAGCCCCACTCACCTCACAGAGTGTTTGTTGTGGGGGAGGAAGGGAAAGGAGAATGTTAGCCGCTTTGAGACTCCTTCGGGTAGTGATAAAGCGGGATATCAAATCCAAACTCCTTCTTCCTTCTCTGGTCCAAGGCCAATATCTTTTCTACATACCTCCTAAGTATTAAAAGGGTGATATTTACTATTAGTCATAACCCTCTGTACATAATTACAGTGCACAATAACTATCATGTATGTGACAGTTTTACAGATGCGCAAAGGGACACACTGTGATGATTATGATCAAGTCCAAACAAGAAGCACTTCTTTTTAATGAGGACTGGGTTCTTTCCAAGTGTTGTAAAATGATATACTCACCCATTAAATTTATTAGAAACATCCATTTAAAAAATGGTTTTAGTCTTGATAATTTCTGGCAAAAGCCAGACTCTTCAGGTCAAAAATGAAATGGCACATAACATGACCCCTACATGTACAGCTGCTGTTAGTAATGCAAAAATCTATTTATAATGCATTTGGGGAGGGGAAAAATAATAACAACAATAATGTAGATTTCTTACCTACCCTTCACTACTGTGGTCCCAGGCTGGGTTACAACAATTAAAATCCTTGGGGTTACAACAGGATTCATAGAATCATAGAGTTGGAAGTGACCATGAGAGTCATCTAGTCCAGGAATCTTTTTGCTCAACATGGGGCTCAAACCCACAACCCTAAGATTCTGAGTCTCGTGTTCTACCAGCTGAGCTATCCCAGGAACTGATACTTGGGATTAACATAGTCAAGAGTTTGGGGACGCCGGTGGGAGTTTGGAACTAAGTATTATAACATCCAGCAGCTAAAGTAGAACGCATGCTTAATAAATAAAAGCACCGGTCTTCTTCACTTTGCTTTTCCTTAAAAAGATTCAACTTCTTGGCTATATTTATGGAAAAGTTGAATCTTTTTAAGGATTAGCAGACACTTTCTATTTATTTATGATTTACAGAACTGTAATTTTTGTGGGGATGTTCTTGATTTGTGTGCAAGTTTTTGCTTGTTGTACAGATGCCCTTTACTCAGTAACAGCCACACTCCCTCCCCAAACTGACCTCTATAGGCTCCTGCCAGTTTAGGGCCATTAGCTTGTTCTGCTCACTGCAATATAATTGTGGGGTGGGTTGGGAACTGGGCTAGTAATACCTATGATTTAACCAAACGTGATCTCAGCAGCACCTGCCAGCCAGCAGTTTAAAAGTACTCCTTGTACAGCCTAGAATTTTCTTCAGGATATCCTTATTTTATTAATGTTCAACATCATTGGAGGTACTTATTTCCCTGGCAGGGCATGGGCGGGTAATTTATCCTTACAACACCCTAGCAGGGTAGGCGATGGTGAGAGGCCCGAGATCATGCTGTGGGCTGAGTAAGAACTTGAACTGAAGTCTCCCCCCTGTCCTAGGCTGGATCTAGACACATCAAAGAAGCGTTTCGGTTAAATGTGCTGTAAACTCATACAGGGAAATCCGGTTGGGAAAGACGGGACTCCACAGTGCCATCTGGTGTCACGGTGTTATATCGCATGTAAAAAGGTAGAGAGACCCCTGACCGTTAGGTCCAGTCGTGGATGTCTCTGGGGTTGCGGCACTCATCTCGCTTTATTGGCCGAGGGAGCTGGCGTACAGCTTCCGGGTCATGTGGCCAGCAGGACTAAGCCGCTTCTGGCGAACCAGAGCAGTGCACAGAAACGCCATCTTAAAAAGGTAAAGGGACCCCTGACCATTAGGTCCAGTCGTGGCCGACTCTGGGGTTGCGGCGCTCATCTCGCTTTATTGGCTGAGGGAGCCGGCCTTTGTCCGCAAACAGGTTCCAGGTCATGTGGCCAGCATAACTAAGCTGCTTCTGGCGAACCAGAGCAGCGTACAGAAACACTGTTTACCTTCCCGCCGGAGCAGTACCTATTTATCTACTTGCACTTTAACATGCTCTCGAACTACTAGGTTGGCAGGAGCAGGAACTGAGCAACAGGAGCTCACCCCGTTGCGGGGATTCGAACCGCCGACCTTCTGATCAGCAAGTCATATACAATGCATATAAAACACTTTTTCTTTACCAATCTAGCTGAGTCCCTAGTCCAACACTCTTAACTACTATGCTGCACTGCTTTGTTCTCTGGAAAGTAAATATACCTCTTGCTTTTTAAATTTCATACCTAGGTTGGGATGGTTGAAAAGAGACAGTTTGCAGTTCAGGCCATGATGGCTCTGCTCCGCCTCCACGGTCAGAGGCAGTAATGCTTCTGAATACCAGTTGTTAGAAGCCAAAGGAGGGGGGTAGGATCAGGTCCTACTTGCAGGTTTCCCACAGGCATCTGGTTGGCCACTATGAGAACACAATGCTGGACTAGATGGGCCATTCAGATGTCTGATTTGTCCACAGTGACACAGTTACATCCCATGTGGATTACTGCAACGTACTCTACGTGGAACCGCTTTTGAAAAGTGCTCAGAAACTTTCACTGGCTCAAAGAGCAGCAGCCAGATTGTTGACCGGGGCTGGTTAGAGTGAGCTTGTTACAACAGCTCCGCTAGCTAGTTTCCGGGCACAAGCCAAACTGTTGTTTATAACCTATTATGTTCAAGCGATCTGAAAACCCATATTCACTCATATGAAACTCTCTGTGTTTTGAGATCTTCACGGGGGGCCCTTCTCTCAGACCCGCCACCCTCACAGGTGAGGACATGGGAGAGGGCCTTCTCGGTGGCGGCTCCCACAATTTGGAACTCCCTCCCTAGAGAAGATAGACTGGTTCCCTCCTTGCTGTTGTTCTGCTGGCAGGCAAAGACTTTCTTATAGCAACAGGCTTTGGAGAACTGACTGGTTTTAATGAAAGGGCTGGTGCTGTGCTATTTTTATTATAATTATCTGTATGTTTTTTAGCAGATGAGAGAGAGAGAGTTAATTCTATCAGTGTTTAATTGTTTTTTAATGGTTGCTTCCCGACCCCAGCAGTGTTTTTAGCTGTTCTTATTTTTATCTTAATATTCTTATGATTATTCCTAAGAGGATAGCTTACACTGCTAAACCACTCACTGGTTCTGTATACTTATGAATTAAGTTCATCTTTCTGCAAATCCAGCTAGCTTCTAAGACGTATCATCGAAAAATAACTTAGTTTAATCATTAATGTGCTATCCTGTACATTTTTAATTCACTTGCTGACTTTTTACATTATTTCCCATAAGTGCACATTGCATTGAGGAAGACTTTCATCTTCAGGAGGAAGCTAGAACGAAATATCCCAGTCCCTGTAGGGACAAATCCTGTCAGGTTCCCCTGTCCACCTCTGCCATGGCTCTTTTGCCTTTCCTGCACCCATGGAGGAAGAAGAGTCGTCGTCAGTGGCCTACGTGCGAAATGGGAGCTGCTCAGAAGCCCAGCAGTCTTAGCCAGCAGAATTACCAAACTTTGCTGGAGGAATGCTTCAAGAAAGGATGCCTGTTTGAGGACGAGTTCTTCCCAGCCGATATTAGGTCCATTGGAAAGGGACCATTGCTCCAGAAACTACCTCAGAGGTTGCTGTGGAAAAGACCACTGGTAAGTGATGGAAATTTCCGAAAAGGGTTGGTTTGGAGAGCTGCACGCCGCATTCTCAGAGGGATTGGATGGATGGCCTGTGGCTCATGGGTAGAACATATGCTTTGTGCATAGAAAGCGTGAATCAGGCTGCACTTGACAACACCTAAGACACACAGGGATGGGTAAGCAAACAGTAGCAATTTCTGCTCTTGTTTCTGTTGGAATTCTCTGACATCCCTACTTTGCACACAAAGGGAGCACTTTGTACAAAACTGCCATTAGGCCACAGGGTGTTATTCTCACAGTGGTTTCATAGGCCTTGTTTTCCATTGAATGGCGTACCGCTATTCAAAATTGGGATGCTCGGTTTTTGGTCCTGAGCTCTCATGGAAGGCAACTGACTCATGCAAGGGCACTGGACAAAAAATATGGGACATTTTGGCATCCAACCAGAAGCTGGGGTGGCTTCTGTAATTCTGGGACAACCAGCTCAAATTGGGAAGGTTGAGGGGTATGGCATGAATGTATGAAACCTTCTGGCTTGGCATTTCCTTATAAGACTGCTATTTTCTTTTAACCTTTCAGGAACTGCATAGGACCCCAGTGTTTTACGCTTCGAACAAAAAAAGGCTTGATCTGTGCCAAGGAGTGATAGGTAAGGACCATTGTCTGTCCTTTGGTGCACGAGTATCTTCTGGAATACTAAACCCTCTTACTAGGGAATAAACCCCATTGAACACAAGAAGATCTGCTTCCAAACAAATATGCACTGGATTACTTCTCGGGTTTTCTGCTGTATTTTGTACAACATTGCCCCTTCTCAGACAGACCCCTCCCCCAGCCCTCCTACCTGAGACACCAGATTGAACATCACACCTCAATCCATAAGCAGCTAGACAGAACCAGCAGAGCTAATCCAACAATACAATTTCTACATTTGTTGTTTTTTGTTTATATTTTACGCATGATGGAATAAAATGAATTTAAGGAAAAAAAACCTTCACTCATGCCCTGTTGGGTTCCAGGCCAACCATTTCAACACGGATATTTGCATGGATGGAAATTGTGCGGCGGCAGAATAAAATTTTAGGTACTGGCACATAATTCCAAAGTGCTCTGTTTCATGGAAGGTTTGCTCCCTAATCTAATTTTAAGTTCAATAAAGAAGTGGCAAAATCACCCTTGAATGTGAAATCAGGTCTACATAATAAGGCAGGCACCAAAACAAGCCTGTTCTAAATTATCTAGTTACATGCTAACGATATGGTTAATAAGTATTCAAACTTACATTGCTTAAGTCCTCTGAAATAGGTTTGTATTTTATTCCGGTTTTATACTTGCTTTTAATGTTTGCATAGCTATGTAAGTTGCTTTGGGTCACTCCTTATGAAATTAAAAAAGATGAATAAATGCTAATGATGATGTTAATAATGCTGTTTACATGCAGTTATTTTATGTTGTCGTGTTTTGAATAGAGGACTGCTGGTTTCTAGCTGCCGTGGAAGCGTTATCATTTCACCCAGATATCTTGTCTCGGGTCGTGCCCACGAACCAAAGCTTTGAGAGGAAGAAGTATGCTGGGATATTCCATTTCAAGGTAAGCATCACCCTCGGCAAAGCTGATACGGCAAAGGTCTCCTAAGGTGCTTTCAGGTTTCGCTGTTTTCAAGCAGGATCCAACCCATGCTGTCCAATTCGGGTTGTGTAATCACTTTCATAGGTATTCTGAGCATTCAAAGGCAAAAACCACCTTTGTGAGATGCAGCGCCTTGTGTTTGAATTTGAGCTATCCATTGTGGCCATTCGATGAAGCTCAGTGCTCCTGTTTGAAGCCGATGCCCTTGCCACGTTTCCAAACCCACGCCCTGGTGGCGCAGCTGGGGCTTGTATGATCCAAGCTCTTCTGCTCTCGTTTTGCTCTTTTTGTCTCTGGTCTACTTCTCTCAGTCACCCATCTATCATGCTGAAGCAGTAAGTCGGAAAAACCTCCTCATGTTTTCCTAAAGCACCAGCTGATGGGCCGATGATGACTAAGTGTTACGGCATGTCAGGGCTATAGCTGAGTCATGGCTTCAGTCCTCTCTTTAAGAATGGCCTCTTAGAAACGTGATCACCTGCTGAAGAAGATTCATGCCCTCTTTTCTTTCCCAGTTCTGGCATTTTGGCGAATGGGTTGATGTGGTAGTCGATGACCGACTGCCAGTGAACGAAGCCGGACAGCTTGTTTTTCTCAGTTCCGTTTATAAGAACCTGTACTGGGGAGCTCTTCTGGAAAAGGCTTATGCCAAGTAAGTGGGCCTTCCTGCATTCCACATTGAATCTCGCTATGAAATGGGGTCCATATACAGTGGTACCTCTGGATGCGAACGGGATCCGTTCCGGAGTCCCTTTGCATCCTGAAGCAAACGCACCCTGTGCTGGTTGCGATTCACTGCTTTCACGCATGTGCGTGACGTCATTTTGAGCGCCTGCACATGCGCGAGCGGCGAAACCCAGAAGTAATGCACTCCGTTATTTCTGGGTCACTGCGGAGCGTAACCTGAAAACGCTCAACCCGAAGAACATTAACCTGAGGTATGACCCCCCCTCTCTCTCTCTGTGTGTGTGTGTGTGTGTGTGTGTGTATATATATATATCCTTGTCTCATCCCTTCTTAACTCGATTGTAGGGATGGGCAACCTTTTCGAACTCGAGGACTGCATTCCCCTCTGGGCAACCTCCCAAGGGCCACAGGCATAAAGGTGGGCGGGGCCAGCATGAAAAGTGGGCGGAACAAGTAATGTGAATTTTACCTTTATACAGTAGGCTAGTTTCCACACCCACCCACCCACCCTCTCTATCTTCCATCCACATAAGCAGCAAGCATGGTCAGAGTTCAAGGATGCATTCCATCCAGGCATAAACACTCAAGGAGGGCCGCATAGGGGGCGTGGAGGGCCATACTTGGCCCCTGGGTCTAAGGTTCCCCATCTCTGCCCTATTGCAATAATCAATAGAGTGTCATATATCTATAATGCTTGGCATGTTTTTATTGACAGGCTGTGTGGCTCTTATGAAGACCTGCAGATTGGGCAAGTGTCAGAAGCTCTGGTGGACTTCACAGGTGGAGTTACTATGACGATCAAGCTGTCTGAAGCTCCGCCTGACCTCTGGGATATCATGACAAGAGCAAACTACAGCAGATCTCTGATGGGTTGCCAGACACAGCCAGCCAGGAGAGTGGCAGATAAGGAATGCAGCGTCCAGGTCAGTTTATGTGGGGAGAGGTGTTTCTGAGGTGCTGGAGCCACATAAGGCTTTTATAAATCAAAACCATTACTCTGAATTGGGCCCAGAAACTATGTGGTGGTTAATACAGTTACACCAAGATCAGTATTAAAGGTTCAGACCATCTTGCCCCAGGCAGCAACTGAGCTGCTGATATTTTCACCGGCTGCAGTTTCTGAAGTACAGGTTAAGTACTTAATTCATTCCGGAGGTCCGTACTTAACCTGAAACTGTTCTTAACCTGAAGCACGACTTTAGCTAATGGGGCCTCCTGCTGCCGCCATGCTGCCGGAGCATGATTTCTGTTCTCATCCTGAAGCAAAGTTCTTAACCTGAAGCACTATTTCAGGGTTAGCGGAGTCTGTAACCTGAAGCGTATGTAACCTGAAGCGTATGTAACTCGAGGTACCACTGTATCTTCAAAGGCAGCCGCATGTATAACACATTATATTAATCCAACCTAGAGTTTACCCAGTGAGCTTCTATGCCAAGCAGGGATACGAACCCATCTGTCCTGGGCCAAAATCAATGTACTACGCTGGGTTTCGTGTTGTTGATATCAAAATGGGAAACAGATTTGGTCCTTTCCCAGAAAGAATTCCCTCCTATACACATTACTACTGTGATTTTCCTTGTATAAGACGCCCCCATGTATAAGACACCCCCTCTTTTGGGACCCTAAATAGAGAAAATGGGGGGAGATTGCCCAGACTTGTTGGGCTTTTAGGGGGGTTGCCAAAAATCGCTCTCCTGCAGGAAGGCAACAGCCAATCAAACGCACATCGGCGAAGCCACCAATCGCTTGCCAAAAGCAAGCACCGATCGCCCGCCCAATTGCCGCAGCAGCCAATAGCCAGTGGACCTTGCGGCACCTACCAATCACCCGCAAAAACGCCACGAACAATATCCTGCTTGCGGCAGCCACCAATCCCCCGTCCCACCTCTCCACTATCCGTGTATAAGACAGCCCCAAGTTTTTAGCACAATATTTTAATAAAATAACCTAGTCTTATACATGGAAAAATACGGTAAATCCCCCCTAATATAGAAAGTGGCTCTACCGAATCTTAATTGCTATTGTTCTAATATAGTATACACAAACTCTCTTTTGCAACCATTTTTTTGTACGCCTTCTCTTAACCTAATTCAATTAGCCAGTTCTATCATATGATCAGTTCCATCATACAAGCCATATGTTACACCATAGGTAAAGGTAAAGGTACCCCTGCCCGTACGGGCTAGTCTTGCCAGACTCTGGGGTTGTGCGCCCATCTCACTCTATAGGCCGTGGGCCAGCGCTGTCCGGAGACACTTCCGGGTCACGTGGCCAGCGTGACATCGCTGCTCTGGCGAGCCAGAGCCGCACACGGAAACGCCGTTTACCTTCCCGCTTGTAAGCGGTCCCTATTTATCTACTTGCACCCGGGGGTGCTTTCGAACTGCTAGGTTGGCAGGCGCTGGGACCGAACGACGGAGCGCACCCCGCCGCGGGGATTCGAACCGCCGACCTTTCGGTCGGCAAGCCCTAGGCGCTGAGGCTTTTACCCACAGCGCCACCCGCGTCCCATGTTACACCATACTTAGCAGCAAATCAATGGAAGGTGGAGAAGGGCATTTCTGATTCTGGTGTATCATCAGTTTCACTGCTGTTAACAGATGGATTGCCATTTAGTATACTGAAGGTACTCCAATATCACTACTGGTCTCTAGAAATATTTTGATGAGTCTACTAAAACAGACTCCCCAAAAGCTTTCAGCATTGGGCAGTCCCACATAAGATGATAGATATTTGCTTTCGGGAATATGTCTTGCAGAAGCACCCAACGCTATTTCACTTAAATATGCAGCTTCCCTTTTGACCCTGAGTTTTTCATGTTGACAAAAGGAAGTGTCTCTCCATAGCAAACCTCTGTTTCTGTGCCTCAACTCGATAATCTGTAGTTTTTCTTTCCTGAATACTTTTCTTTATATGGAAGGTGAGTCACCCCCTAATGTCAAAATGCACAAAGCAGGAAGTTTGCTGAGGTGTTTAGTGCAAACTGTGAGTGGCATTTACAGTAAGCCCAATGGAAACTACCCCTGTTGTCACTTTAGTTTTCTGCGCGCGCTCTCTCTCTCTCTTCTTCATTTATTGAGTAGCATAAAAATGGTCACCAATAATGGTCACCATAATACAGTGGTACCTCGGGTTACATACGCTTCAGGTTACATACACTTCAGGTTACAGACTCCGCTAACCCAGAAATAGTACCTCTGATTAAGAACTTTGCTTCAGGATGAGAACAGAAATCGTTCTCCAGCAGCGTGGCAGCAGCGGGAGGCCCCATTAGCTAAATTGGTGCTTCAGGTTAAGAACAGTTTCAGGTTAAGAATGGACCTCCGGAACAAATTAAGTACTTAACCCGAGGTACCACTGTATCAGAGACTAGAGATGTGACCAAATTTCTGCAGTGTTTTGCAAATGGGCCCAACAGGGTTGGCACTTCCTGGTTTACAGCATAGCTAAATGTTTTTATGCCCTTCTCTCCAGAAAAGAAGAGTCCTGTCAAATGGATTAGTGTCTGGCCATGCCTACACTGTGACTGGCATTCGAAAAGTAAGTTCCACCTTTTTTTTGTAGTATCAGCTATGGTTTTATAATCATCGTCGTCGTCAACAACAACAACAACAACAACAACATTATTTTAGGTTGAAGCCTATTCTCCCACTGCTTCATGCCAAGGCAATGCCCGTAACACGTCCTTTTTTTCTGGGGGTACGCAGGGGAAGCCATACCCCTAAACATTTTGTGAATCGAAGTTTGGCCTCATCGAGGGGCAGTATTTTAATATGAGTAGAAAAATGAGAGTACTCCTAAACATATTTTTTCGAAAACAAGCACTGCCCGTAACATTTTGCAGCTACAGGTGAAATTGAACGATGGCACCCTGGATGGGTCTGGAAGCCCCTGAGCCTTGTGGCACCCTCTGATAGCCCTTCAAACTGGGCACTGTAAAGTAGGACACAGGACCACCCTAACCACAAGGGTGGTTCTCGGTCCTCAGGAGTAGCAGGTATATGGTGGAGGTGACAGCTCAGGGTGAGCGGGGAGAAAGTCTGAATGGTGCAGCTGCTCTGTCTGAACATGAATGCCACTGATCTTAGATCAGCCTTCCCCAGCCAGCCCTCCAGACGATTTGGCCTCCAGCTCTCAACATCTGGAGGGCACCAAGTTGGGGCAGGCTGATCTACAGTCTCATAGTACCTTGGACAAAAGCAGGGCTGTAGGGTACATTTGACATACACTTCTGCCCTTGCATTAAATATTATCAGGCCTTATTGAAGATGATGAGCGCATCAGAATGGTTTCTTTCTCCACGAGCTGTGCTTCCTTTTAATGGCATGAATAAAACATAGAGGATAATAGCTGGGCCCATGTGTAAATCAAAGGCTGTAATTGATTCATGAGGCTCTGCTGACAGAGAGGCTCACATGTGCATGCTAAGCGGAGCCGGGTTTAAAGCTGAAAGCAGGTCTGTGGAAAGGGGAAGGTTGAGGAGTTCAGTGTTTTCTTCCATAAAATGCATCAGAAGGTGACCTGTCCCTGGTCTACGCACCTTTTAACTCTTGCCACTTGTCTGTTTAACCCCAGTTGGGGAAATGCTGATAAAATCCCCTGCTTTTAATTATCAATCATGTACAAACCAATGTTCTTTTTACGGCAGGGGTGGGGAACTTGTGGCCCCCATGCGCTGTTGAACTGTAATGCCCATCATCCCTGACCATTGTTAAATACTGCCCCCCCCCCCCGTTAAGCAAGCCGCCCCAGAGGAATGAGTCTGGCCGTGTGCATTAGCAATCATTCTGTTGCGTAGCATTGAGTTTTGTGTTGTTTTGTTGCACAGTGTCGATTTTTCACTCCACGTTGGTAGTTTGAAATGTCCAGCATATATTGTTTCACCTTGGGCGCCCTGTTTGAGCTCTTTCGGGAGAGGGGCAGAGGGAGTAGGACCATCTTTTTATTACTCAATCTCTCAGCAGCTTTTGATAGCCTTGGCTATGGTACCCTCATGGATTGCCTGTATGGAATACGCATTGGAGGTACTGTATTGCAGTGGTACCTTTACTACCTGCATGGTCCAGTCCAGAAAGTAGTATTAGGGGAGTTCTCTTTGACCCCCTGGCAATTGTTCTATTTTCTCTCCAGTGCATCTCCATTGAGAACGGTCACTGGGATTTTTTGAGCAAGGCATCTCCCTATGTTCCTTTTGTCAGTGTGATTCTGACCAAAGGTCAGAGGAATAGGCACTGTCTTGGAGGGACCAGGTTGCTGAGCACCTCATAGGCCAAAATTGGCTCCTTAAATTGCACCTGCAATGTTTTTATATGTCACCAGAGCAGCTGGGAAAGGAGGTTGTAACCCCAGTTAAGGCAATCTGTTTTTTGTTTCTGTACAGGTGACTTGCAAACATGGACCCGAGAATTTAGTGAGACTGAGAAATCCCTGGGGAAAAGTTGAATGGAAAGGAGATTGGAGTGACAGGTGCGTTTCCGAGCAAAAAAAAAAAAAGGTTATGGTTTATAGAGATGAACCTACAGTGCCACCTGCAGGCAGATACTGATCCCAACAACTGCATGAGATGTGAATATGGTGCTGTCACACTGAGAAGGGCAAGCCAAGTGGACAGAGTTGAGCTTATTTATTTTATTTCGACAATTTATTTACCACTTAATTACAGTTGCCTGTAAGACTTGTACAGGAGGCTCAATTCAATAAAATAAAAAATGAGTTAAAACTATACAAAAAAAATCCTGACTATTGAAGGGAAGCACCATAGCTTGGTAGTAGGGTGCCCGCTTTGCATGCAGAAGGTCAAAGGTTCAAATTTCGGCATCTACAGGTAGGATTGGAAATGTTCCTTGCCTGAAATCCTGGGGAACCACTGCCGTTCTCTGTGAGCAGTATTGAGCTAGATGGGTAAGGTAAGGTAAACTGAGCTAGATAGACCAAGGATCTGACGCCGTATAAGACATCTTCCCACATTCTCTAGCATCATTATTTTTGGGGGTGGCAGTCACAGTTTGCACCCCCTCTCCTGCAAGAAGGGTGCCAAGTCCAGGGCATTCTGGAGGCTGCAAAATGGTTGCTGATGTTCATGATTGCGGCGTCAGCAAAATAAAACTGGAAAAAAACGCAGGGGAGAAGAAAGCGTTGTGCAGAGGCGGAGAAAGCGGATTGGGCGCCTGGGGTGGCACGCGTGCCCTGCGCCCAGGGGCGGGGTCACCTGCCAGCAGGGTGGGGTGAGCTGGGGCAGGACGCTTTGTGGGGCCTCTGAAGAGTCTGCCTGCCTCCTCCCACTCAGCCGCCCTATGGCTGGGGGGGAGGCGGTGGGCGGACCGTTTGTGGCAGCATGGAGCCTGCGGGTGCCCAAGCCACTGAGTCACTCCCAGGAGAGATGCGTGGCTCGGGCGCACTGCAGACCCCGTGCTGAGTGCCACCAGGCATTTTGTCACCCCTCTCAGGGCGGACCACCCACACCACACACCCCTTCCTCTGATGGTGAGGTCCATCCCTGACCAACAGCTGGATAATTTCTTCTCCCCACTGCATAAATTTGGTCACATCTCTAGTCCCTGATATTGGTGACTGTAATATTAAATAAATGCCCATGATAATAATAATAATAATAATAATAATAATAATAATAATAATAATAATAATAAAATAATTTATTTATACCCCGCCCATCCGGCCGAGTTTCCCCAGCTACTCTGGGCGGCTCCCAATCAGTGTTAAAAACAGTACAGCGTTACATATTAAAAACTTCCCTGAACAGGGCTGCCTTAAGATGTCTTCTGAATGTCAGGTAATTATTTATCTCTTTGACATCTGATGGGAGGGCATTCCACAGGGCAGGCGCCACTACCGAGAAGGCCCTCTGTCTGGTTCCCTGTAGCCTCACTTCTTGCAATGAGGGAACCGCCAAAAGGCCCTCGGCGCTGGATCTCAGTGTTCGGGCTGAACGATGGGGGTGGAGACGCTCCTTCAGGTATACAGGACCGAGGCAGGCAAGGCAGAACACTGGCCTATTCTGCAACAAAGCTGAGTGGGTTCCTGTTTTAAACAAAGCTCTTTTCTTCCTGTCCCTTTAGCTCTGGGAAATGGGAGCAGCTCAGCCCAAAGGAGAAGATTTTGCTACGGAAGAATGATGATGATGGAGAATTCTGGTACTTTAATGAAATTACCTCGTTGCTTCTCTCCCCTCTGCTCCCAGTGCAGGGTTTCTCAAATGCCTATAGAATGACTGCCCAGCAAATTGTCCCATGACCAGTGCTTTTTTCCCTGGGGGTATGCAGGGATATGCATATCCCTAAACATTTTGTGAATCAAACGGGAGAAGAAATAATTTTTTAAAAAAACTATTAGTTTCTTCTCTAGCACAGTGAATCGTCAGTTCTGTTGCTACCCCCGATGGCAGTCTTTTGTCCATTTACTGTATTTATTTTTCCCAATTTGAACTATAAAATGATGATTTTCTTGAGTCAAAATGAGAATACCCCTAAACATTTTTTATAGAAAAAAAGCACTGCCCATGACCCTCCCTGCCTCTCCCCTGTTAGTAGGTCAGATATCCATATGGCATAGTTTTAAGCTTAAAGAGACCACTGTGGATATCAATGAGATTTTGTTCTCTGTCGTGTATTTAGGACTGGAAAAAATACTTCTTAAAAACCTTAATTTCTGCTCGCTGAGGGAAAAAAGAGATGGCATGCCACATTCACACCAGTTTCTGGGAATTACAGGTGGGTTGAGTTCCACTTGTGAGATTCCCAGTGGCATCTGGGAAGATGCTGGACTAGGCGGGCCTTTGAACTGATCCAACAGGACTTTTCTCAAGTTCTTATGTTCACTGCCAGCGCATTCACTCCTTTGCGGCTAAAACACTTGCCTTTGAAAAGGGAAGCATTCTTTCCCCCTGGAATTGGCCAGTTAGTTGCTGCTCACAAGCACAACTTCTAATGATGATGGCTGCCCTGCATCATTTATCACCAGCACCTTAATATTGGACGTATGCCCTAATCCCTTCAAACATAGACACTCCATCTGGCTATATGGCATTGTCTCTAATGAGTCCAGTTTGCTGTGATATTTTAAATAGGTATACCTCTAGTGAGCGGCTTTTTGTAATACAAGTCTGGCCTGCAACACAATGTTGCAGCATAGAGTGCTCCCTCTTCAGGATTCTCTCCCCTCTCAGATATTCTTCTTTTTATATCCTAGCAGTTATTCAGCATTTCCTGGACACTGAACACTCTTGGTCCTCACTGCGTTTTCTTTTCTGGGGACCGGGGTTCTTAAGCTCCCAAGTTCTGCCAATATACTTAGGTGTTTTGGCTACATAAGCAATGACAATCACATCCTGTGCAACTGAAATAGAGGGAGGGAACGATAATAACAAAGGGTGTGTTTGTTTGTTTGTGTGTGTGAGTGAGTGCAGTGCTACTGTTTTATTAAACGTACACATTTTTGCATGCCGTTTTCCCTAACGTAACACATTTTTGTATGTTATTTTCACCAATATCATCGTTCTTTAATGCACACTTCCCCCCTCATATGTATACATTTTTGTAAACATTGGTTGCAGAAGTACATCGCAAAATTCAGATAAGTGCAAGTTTTGAGGGATAGCAGTGTTTCGCTTCACATATTGTTTCGGAAAGTGTGAATTTGGTCATTCCACCTGGGACTGCAACTTGAAATTAATTTCTTCTCCAACCCTGCCTGGTATAGAATGCAGTTGGACTTGTGTTGCTTCAACCTATTCCGATTTTAAAACTCCCTCAAAAGTGAGATTAAGCTTTGTTTAAAAGGCTGCATTGTGAAGTCTGAAAATCCACATTTTCCCAAATGAGCACATGTGCACACCCACAACCGCACATCAAAGGAGGATACAAGTGATCCAGTTTCTCATGTTACACCATTTTGCCACTAGGTGACAGTGTTAACACACAGTGCCATTCCTCCTCTTTTTGGGCTCCCAAAAAACCTCTCTGCTAAGAATTATTTGCGGTTGTCTTGTCTGCTTCTCCTCCTCATAGTGCTGCTGCTTATTGGTAATTACTAAACGTAAGCCAAGGCAAAACATGTATCCTCTGCAAGCGCTCTTGTCCTATAATGTGTTGTCAGCAGTCACACGCTTCGGCAAATCCAGTGTGAGAAATGGGAACCTGCGGACCTGTATGCGCATGATGAGAAATGGGTGCACGTCAGAGGCAAAACACATCCGTTCTACGGTCAGGGATTTAATTTTGAAAGCAGCACTGGAGAGCCTTTCTGAGATAAAGGGTCACATGCTGAGGGTGGGTGGAGCCAGAGGAAAAAGTGGGTGGAGCAATGAGCGTGGGTTTTACAGTCGGCTGCTTTCTATGTATACTCACACACACCCCCTCTCCACCCAGACAAGCAGGAGGCACTATCACAGAGTTCAAGGACACAGGCTAGGCCAAACGGGAAGGACAAGCGGAGCTAGTGAGTGGTGAGGCCTTGAGGAGAAGGGGTGTGGCTTGTGAATAGTCCAGAGGGCCAGATAGACCTCAGGGGCCACATTTGGCCTCTGGTCCTGAGCTTTGCCACCTCTATTCTGAAGAACAGGAGCTAGGAAACAAGGAAGCTGCCTGATACTGTGTCAGATCATGTGCCATCTAGCTCAGAACAACGAATGGCTCTCCAGTATTTCAGACAGGAGCATTATCTGGAGTTGCCAGGGATTCAACTTGGGACAGAAAACCTGACAACAGCCTTAAGCCTTAAAGAAAAACAGAAGATGCGTTAGCTTCAATGTCAGTCCTAAGCCAGGATGGATATTTGATTCCGTGTCTTTGTTGCTGTTCTTTTCTCACAGGATGTCCCTGCAAGATTTTAAAACCCATTTTGTGGGCCTGATGATCTGTAAACTGACTCCTGATCTCCTGAGTAAGGAATTAGGGAAGAAGTGGACGTGCTCGACGCAGGTCGGCAAATGGGTCAAAGGAAGCACAGCGGGGGGCAGGATGAAGGCGCACAACGGTGAGGTGCCCCTTGGGGAACGCTACTTTTGAAAATAATTTGCTGGCATAATGAGCTAAGCACCTGCTCTTCTGAGCTAGAGGCTCACATGTTTGCATCTCTCACCTCCAGCTGCATTTTGGAGGAATCCCCAGTACTTGCTGAGAGTTCTGCAAGGCAACGGGAGCAAAACGTCCCGTTACTCCTGCAGCGTGTTGGTGTCTCTGATCCAAAAGCGCAACGACCATCACCGGAATCGGATGCCTCATCTCCACATAGGCCTCTCCGTCTATAAGGTTGGTGGAATCTTGTTGCTTTCCTGCTGAAACTGTTGGGTTAAATTGTTCTAAGCTGGGGCAGCCAATGTGTGGTGCCCTCTAGATGTCATTGGACTCCATCTCCCATCACCCCCAGAAAGCACGGCTGATGGACAGGGAATGATGGGAGTTGTAGTGTAGCAAAATCTGGAGGGCACGGCATTGACTACGCCTGCCCTAAGCTGTTTCTCCAAAGCCCCTTGCAAGAAAATAAGAAGTTTCTTCCTAGCAGGTACAGATTTCTTTTGCTTAATGCGAACAGAGAGGGACCCTGACCTACCAAGGGAGGCTGTGAATCAGAAGTAGAAAACAGGGAAAAGAACTGGGCAAGTCAACATCCCATGTAGGCGCAAATGATGCCCTCCATCCTAGTTCTGAACAAGGCTCTCTTCTGCTTCAAGACTCCCCTGTGAGGAACCTGTGGCCCTACACATGGTATTGGACTGTTACAGGTTCCATCACTCCTGACTGTTGGCCAAGCTGACTGGGTCTGATGGAAGTTGGAGACCAAGCACATCTGGAGGACCACAGGTTCTCCACTCCTCTACCTTCAATAGATAGATGTCTAGAACAGCCTTACTCAACCTTGGGCCCCCAGATGTTGTTGGACTACCACTCCCATCATCCCTAGTTACTCAGGGATGATGGGCATTGTAGTCCACCAACATCTGGGGAACCAATGCTGAGAAAGGCTGGTCTAGGAATATCATCAAGTGTAGCTGCTGAAGCAAGTCAGGATTTCTGCCAGTGGCGTAGCGTGGGTTGTCAGCACCCGGGGCAAGGCAAGTAATTTGCGCCCCCTAACCCGTGGATTTGCGCCCCCTAACCTGTGGATTTGCCCTAACCCCAGATGTTGCACCCGGTGCGGCCGGCCCCCCCTGCACCCCCCACGCTACGCCACTGATTTCTGCCCCCCACTCCCCTAGGGCTTTTGACATTGTCTCCACCACCACCACCTCTGAACCCCACCAGGAGTCAGAGTTCATCCTGTGGCTGTTCTGGACTTCAGCAACCTTACCTCCCCAAGGTGCCTAGTATATGGGATAAGTTTTAAAATAGGGAGTTCAGTGCTTTAGTGTCTGGTGGCCCTTTTGACTGATTCAATCAACTGTAACTTTCAGTTGTAAATTTTACTTGGAATTCTCTGGCTGATACATATTCTTCTTTCTTTTTTCCTAGGTGGGCCAGGAGGTACGTATATAGTCCCGTGTTGCTTATTCCCATTTTGGCTGTGTATTCTTGCATATGCTTCCTTCCTGCACTTTTCCCTGAGACAGAGTAGGTAAAAACAGATGCAACTTCTGTGTGCTTACCATAGCCGAAATTCTGATCTGAGTGCAATCTCAGTTGGGCTGGATTTAAAATCTTTTAAGGTGGAAACAATTGGATATTTGAAATGGTGTTTGTGCCCAAATACTGAAATGTGTTGTTTGCAAGTAGCTGCATCTTCCTCTCTCTCTACACATGTTGAGACACATGCACCCATTGCTAGGAATCATATGTGTGCAGAGAGCCTTTGCATTCAGGTCCTGCTTGGAAGCTTCCCTGGGGCATCTGGTTTTCCACTGGCTGGATTAAATGGCTCTTTGGCTTGAACGAGCAGGGCTCTTCTTTGTCTGTTCTTATGAGGTGTTATGGGCCTTGCATTGACTTTGTGCAAGTGGGAAATGCCTGCAAGCTGCACAAAGTGTGCAGCCCTGATAAATTTCACATTCTGGTGCCTTTGCGCCTTCCACCCTGGCTGGAGGTTCATGTTCAGCCATGCCAGCTTACAAGCATGGGAATTGGATTTGCACCACGATCCTAACCGTCTCTGCTGGGAAGTTACAACTGCCGAAATCCTGTATTCAGGGTATTGGAAAATCCCAAAACCTTGATGCTTTGTATTCTGCAGAACTTGGAATTTCTGTTCGTATGTGAGTGTTTGGACATGGCTTTCCAAACTCCGTTCAAAGCTAGTGTGTCCCATTTTCTTTTCCACCTATTTTAGAGAAGCTTCTTAAGGCATTAAAAAAAAAAAGATTGTTAATGCCGTCGCGACTCAATGCATTTCAAGATAATGCATTTTTATGGCTTAATTAAGCATTAATGGTGGTGTGTTCCTGAGCTATGCCCAGAAGCAGTAGACAGGGCTGAGTGAGAAATGGTTTTATTATATTTCCTTTTTAAGCCCCACAAAGTATAAATCCCTAGGGGAATTCGCCCACTTTTTTTTTAGCTCATTCTTTGGCATTATTTGCAGATGCCACTAAATCGATGCTATCATTTCTTTTTGTCCATTGCATACAGTTAAATGATGTTCCCAAGTGCCTTCGTCTCAGATATTTTTGTTACACCGCCATCAAATTCAAGTAGATGTTATGTCAGGGAAAGAGCTGCCTATGAAGGCGTTTTTACCAGGACATAAAACCAAGGATTGGCAACACACTGGCTATATGATGCTGTGCTCTTGAGCCATGTGATGTGCATGGAAGATGGGAACAAAGCAGTGGCATGATTAACCTGCATGGGGACTAGAGATGGGTTGATGCTGGTATATCCTTTGCTACCTTGGTCTGGGTCCATTTGCATCAAAGTATCAGCTGAGACGCTTCCTCTGATTTTAGCAATGTCAGGACAATAGGACCAGGTCATCAGAGAAACTGTGAATCTGGCCTACGCCAGGGGAAGCTAGCATGGTGTCCTCCTGATGTTTTTGAATTCCAAACTCCCCCATCAGCCCTAGCCAGCATGGCCAATGGTCATGGATGTTGGGAGTTGTAGTCCAACCGTAGCCAGAGGACGCCATGTTAGCTACCTCTGGCCAAAGCTTTTGCCCAGGCCCAGATGGCCCAAACCATGTTGGGTGGGAAAATCCTGCATTGCAGGGGTTGGACAAGATGACTCTCGTGGTCACTTCCAACTCTACAGTTCTATGATTCTATGATTTCATGACCTACATATTTGGCTCCGTATGGTCTCAGATATGCTGTGGTTTGAAAGCCCAGCCTGTCTACCTACTGTTATGCTGTGAAACCAGTCTGGCTTCTACCCAAAGGCACCAGAGGCTCAGTATCAACAGACTGGTTGAGACTACTTGAATGCAGCAGCAAAGCCAAAGTTGTTTGTCTCTTGTCTGGAGGTTTGGACCAATTGGGAGATAACACTTTTACATCCAGGCTCATTGAAGATCAGAGCTGGAGTCTGCTTGGAAGTAAATTCCAGACTTGTATTGAGCACCAAGATTAATATAGTGAAGTACAAAACCAAGAGCAGTTTTAACATTGGAAATACAATGAATCACTGCATTGACTGAGGCATAAAAGCCTTGCATTTAATATATGATGCATTCAAAGGGGCAACCCCACCCTCTTAGGAGATGACAGATTGCTGCATTAGCAGGAGAGAAATACAACCAAAGAGAGAGCAAAAGTCTTTCTGCAACTGCTCTTGTGGGCAGCAAAGTCCGCCAGAGAGCAAAATGTCAGAGCCATTTTGAGGAATGGCCAAATCAGGAAGGCACCAGAGTTCTTAGCCAATGCAGTTATTGACCGTCTCCATGTCCGGCATTCTCTCATTCAGTCGCTAGTAATGGGAGATGCCTATTAACAGTGCAATTTTGCCTTCATCATCATGCCATAATGGGACGATGGGGTTGTTAAAAAGAGACCACGGTTGTAATTCTATTCTAAGCCTACTTGCGGAGAAGTAAGCCCCACTGAAATCAATGGGGCTATTTTTCTGAGCAAAATTGGTTGCTTGCATTCTTGGGTTTTAGGACAACATGCACAAAGGCTATGCACCGATTTAGGAAATATTTGGACCACTCTGATGATTCTGTGTTGCCTGGGTATAATTTTTCTGATAAAGGCATTCTGTAGAATTATCATTGGTTCCCCACTTTTTCCAGTCTATGTGCAGGATGTGTGCCCAATAATTTATTTTAGTATAGATTTTAATGGCCTTTGTATGCCACCTCATAATGCAAAGAGCAGCTTACAAGAAAAGTAAAAACTATTTTAGTACCTTGAAATGTGAAATCAAATGCTACATAAATATAACAAAAGAGGCTCACAAAATTGAATGTAGATTGAAAAATGGAGAGACCCTATTTAAAAGGCCTGGAGGAACAGAATAGTCTCTGCCTGGCGTTGAAAAGACCACAAAGATGGCACCAAGAGAGCCCCCCCCAGGGAAGGGCATTTCATAACCAGGGTGCCACAACTGAAAAGGCCCTCTCCCTGGCAACCACCTGCTTCACTTTATTGGTGGACACACCCAGAGCAGGGCATGTGAAGTGGGTCTTAAGGAACATGGAACAGGAAGTAGCTTCACAGGATCTGAGTGCTGGGAGGAAAAAAGTATTTGTTGTTGTTATCATGTTTCGGGCAAAATATTAGCATGTAATTTAGACAAATTCAAGCACCCATTGTTTTCACAGTTGCCTCTGCTCTTTCATTTACTTCTAAGTAACATGGATGTGGTTTCTGATGACACATTTAGCATCACATCTATTTTGTGCCTTCGAAAATGGATGCTACCCCACCCTACTTTTCATATAAATATTAGCTCGTTCCTCTCCATGGAACTCTTTCCATGACTTAAAAAAATAATAATCCCCAAACAGTGTAAGCTTTTTGTAAGTTTCTCTCTCTCTCTTTCTTCTCAGTACCATGACCTTAATAGAAAACTGCCGGCTGCCTTCTTTGTCTGGAACATGCCCCTGAATAGGGCAGTCTTTGTAAATGACCGTGAAGTGACTCAGGATTTCCGGCTCCCACCAGGGGCCTATGTCATTGTCCCAGCCACTGCAGAACCCAACCAGGAATCAAACTTCATCCTGCGGGTCTTCTCCAGGAAGCACAGCCTTCAGTAAGTCCTCCAGTCTTGCTTTGCTACAGAGTGTGTAATTTTGCCAGAGGGAAAGGCTGCTGGTGGGTGCTCCCTGGTGGGAGATATGTAGTTTGCCCTACCTTTTCATGGCCATTGGTCAGGGATGATAGGAATCGTAGTCGAGCAACTCCCTGTGGAGGACTGCAGGCTTCTGAATCCTGGTCTATACCACTGTGAACTGTGACGACGACAACAACAACAATTTAATATTTAATGCTGTATTGTTTTTAAATTGATTGGGAGCCGCTCAGAGTGGTTGGGGAAACTCAGCCAGATGGGTGGGGTATTAATAATAATAATAATAATAATAATAATAATAATAATAATAAATAGTAATAATTATTATTATTACAACAATGGCAGCAATGTCATAGTAATAGTTGGTCCCTATTTGTGGAATGCTCTCCCCAGGGAGGCTTGCTTGGCACCTTCATTATACACCTTTAGGCGCCAGGCAAAAAACATTCCTCTTCAACCAGGCCTTTGGCTGATGGACCTCCAATGTTGTGGAAGGCGGGTTCTAGGTTTGTTTTTGTTCTTATTTTTATTAGGAAAAATATGCATTTTGTGTTTTTTATATTGTGATTTTATGTTGTGAACTGCCCTGAGATCTACGAATAAGGGACGGTATACAAATTTAATTAATTAATTAATAATAAAAATAAAAATCCATTATTAATCATTGTTCATTCTTTTATGAATTAGTTACCCACTCTTCATTGCAAGGTCCCAGAGTGGGGTACATACATATTAAATAACATGAAAGCAGAACTTAAAATCATAATTAAGCAACACAAAGATTACTACAGTGCAGAAATGTGGTGTGGGAGTGGAGGCAGGGGCAGTGGGCACATAGCTTAATCTAAAATGACTCATTTGCTCTAAGAAAATCCCATGGCATCTTGTCTTACTGGCAAAAAGAGTTCAAGACTATTGCCAGGGCTTTCATTCCCAGCCACCAGTTGTCTGGTGACACCAGTTGCAATGGACCATCAATGAAGCTCAGAGACCTCTGTGTGCTACATTCTTCAACTTTGGGTCCCTAGAGGTTGTTGGATTACAACTCCCATCATCCCTGGCTAAGCTGGCTGGACATGATGGGAGTTGTAGTCCAGCCGCCGCTAAGGGCTCAAGGCTGCAGAACAGCTACAGGCCTGTCAACTCTGTAAAAGCAAATGGCTTCACAGTTGTGCCAACACTGGCTGAAGCAGCAATGTCTGTGGGGAGAGCTTGATCCAGAAGAAGCATTGTATGGGACAAAAGAAACATTTCTGCCTTCCCTCCCCCTCTCACCTTGTTGCACTATCTACACCTCTCATTGTACTTGTTAAAATTTGATTTCAGTGAATTGGGTGGTGATTCCAGCTGTGTCCTTTCAAAGGTGAGTTGAAGAACCGCTACACCGCTTGACTTGCTTCTCTCCTCTATTCCTCTGTGCTGACCTGCGATCCTCAGCAGAGCTTCCAGGGTGGGGGAACCAATCAGTTGAGTACGGTGGGCTAAGCTTGCAAATGGACTTTTATTGCTGGCCAGCTTCACTTTGAGGCCTGAATGGCAGGATGTAAATCTGGAAATATATAGGCGATCCCTGCTGTGTGCTTTTAAAAGGGGAGAAGAGGTGTAACTCACTTTGTTTTTTAATGTTCTAACAGCACCACAAGAGTATGTTGATGTCGTAACTTATGGGAAGTGAATACACTCCCTTTGAATGAACCCTAGCAGCTGGCATTTATCATATCAAGAGAAAAGACATAAGCCAAGTGGATGCTCATTCTCACGGCATCTTGGGAACAGCAGTTACTGAGTGGGGGCTCTGACCTCAAAAGCCAAACTCAAGAGTCTCGTGGCTGCGGGTGTCTGTCCTTTCCCTCGTAAACTATTGCAAATTAGCACGCAAAATTGGACTGCAGAAAGTCAATTTTTCTAGGATAAGTTTTACTGTCAGCTGTTCTCTTGCCACTAAACCTCTATTGGTCTAGTGGCCTGCTGATCCACTGCAATCCATTACCTAGATCTTGAGCTACCGCATTTCCATCCTGCTTCCGTTCTGATTTGTTGTTGTTGTTGTCTGCAGGAAATAGTTGATGAACATGAAGATTGGGAAGATTTCTTCACTAAGTACTTTGATCAAGTAAGTCTGCCTATAGGGTCCGCCAGAGGAAATAACCAAACTGCCCTGTTCGTGTTAGTTTCCGTGAAAAAAAATTGTAGGAGAGGGAGGGAGGGAGAAACCTACATTCTGGAAAGCATGCTGATGAAAGCCCATCAGACAGTGCCTATAGAACAATCCCGCCACTATGGTTTGACTTGATTTGTATATATTTTCAAACATATATCAGCTCATCACCACTTGAAGGAAGGAAGGAAATTGAGACAAAATAATAAAGCCAGTTGCAAGGTTCACATGCAGGTAGAGATTCCCACGATAAGCTTTTAAGTATGAACATCCCTCTCTGATGACCATAGGTACTGCTGATATCTTATGAAAATGCCTTGACTTTCACAGATGATCTGTGACTGCAGCTTCAAAATTCAGTTTTCTATGTGATACCGCTATTAAAAATTATGGTCTTTTGAATGCGTAGAACTTGAAATATGCAAAGCTTGGGTTTTTCTATAATATCTTGTCTCTCTTGCTTTAGTATCCTGAGATTAATGCGATGCAGCTGCTGAGGATTTTGAACAATGTGGCTTGGACGAGTAAGTATGATCTGGACTGCGGAATGCAGCATCATGTATGTACATGGATCCAAGTGCAGAATGGCAGTGAGGGTTTTCATTATGTAGCTCAGTCTCCACAAGTGTTGGGTACATTTCTCATTAGGCTCTGCAGATGGTATCGTGTCAACCTCTATTAATCGTGTTTAAATGATAACATTTTCATACTCTTAATTATAGCAACTCTACCACTTTTACTTTCTGGGGCTCAGTTGCTTGGGAATAAAAGTCAAAGAAGTCTTTGCTCTCATGTTCTGCTGGTGTGCTTCAGTAATAATAATAATAATTTATTATTTCTACCCCGCCCATCTGGCTGGGTTTCCCCAGCCACTCTGGGTAGCTCCCAACAGAATATTAAAAACACAATAAAACATCAAACATTTTAAACTTCCCTAAACAGGGCAGCTTTCAGATGTCTTCTAAAAGTCAGATAGTTGTTTATTTCCTTGACATCTGATGGGAGGGCGTTCCACAGGGCGAGTGCCACTACCGAAAAGGCCCTCTACCTCGCTCCCTGTAGCTTCACTTCTCGCGGTGAGGGAACAGCCAGAAGGCCCTCGGAGCTGGGCCTCAGTGTCCAGGTTGAATAATGGGGGTGGAGACGCTCCTTCAGGTATACTGGGCCAAGGCTGTTTAGGGCTTTAAAGGTCAGCACCAACACTTGTAGTAATCTGGTGGGCCACCGAAACCCAAGATGTAGCAATGGCTGTCAATGTGGAAGAAGAGTGCTGTGGTGCTCAGGTCCTGTCTGCGGGCTTCTCACAGGAAACTGGTTACTCTCTGTGAGATCAAGATGTTGGATCGTTGCATTGGCGATGTGATCCATCAGGAGCCTAGGACCAGGGGCAGGCTTTTAGGGTTGTGCCCTTAGGTGTACTCCTAAGGGAATTTCCAGAAACAGAATATCACATCTGGCTGAGGATGCAGCAGTGACTGGGGGGGGGGGAGAAGAAGAAGATGCAACAGAGAAAGTGACTTTCTCTAAGCTAGACATCACAGAAGAGGTGGCTTTGCAGGGCTGGAAGCCAGATGCTAGTAGCTAGAAGAGAGTGAAACAGACATCAAGAACGCAGCAGTTGCGTGTGAAGGAGTTGGAGGGGCATCGCCACCCTCCTGCTGGTGGTGATATGGTTGCTGGGGCGGGCATGGGGCAAGGCACTGGTGAGGTTGTGGTTTTGCCCTGCCAATCCCAATGGACACCAGCCTCCACTCGTTAGAATTATTGTAGTTCCCTTACGGTTGTATCAAAGAACTTTGAAAGCAGGCATATCCTTAGGCAGTGACTTATCATCCTCTCCATTAAGTATGAGTCAGGGTACTGATCATCAGAGCCCTTCATGACACACCCCTGTGACTTTGGTCTTGAGCCTGGGGCACAGCTTGAATTCCCAAGCTGTGAGAGCAGAGAACTATCTTCAGGTGCCACAAATTCTCCATTAACAGAGCTATCCTTCCTTACTATTTAGCCTTTCCTCTTTGATCTTTTCTTGTGTCATAATTCCTCTGGCATTCCTCTTCTCTCATGTTCCCTATGGCAATTTCTCCTTCCATAATCAATTCTTTCTTTTTATTTTACTTATTTATATGATTCCTTTCCTGCTCTCCATCAAATATGATCTTAGCGTGTGCAGCAAGTTCAAATATAATGAAAATAGAACCACAAAATGCAATTGAAACAAAAACAAACAAACAGGCATAGTTCCAGGAAAAAACATTATTTTTGTTGAATGCATTTCCAAACTTTGTATATACTAGGCATTGTTAGTTGTTACCATTTCTTTTCACTATTCCCATCTCTGCCCAGCTCCTTCCCTCACCCAGTCCTGTTTTCCCGCCATGGGAAGCCTTCTTGACTGACTCCCTCTCAGTTCAAGATAGTGCAAACAAACCAACAAACTGGCCCCTCCTGCCATATTTTATTTAGGAAGGCTTTTGGTTCTGTAGCATATTTAGATTTCTTTATTGTTCACTCTTCCTGTGAATGTTTGTGCCATTCATATTTTATTAAGCGTACCCTAAAAACATGGGGCAGACGAATCCTAGGGTGGACTGCCAAGGTGTGGAGGGGCTCATCCTGCTGCACATCCTTGCTGCTGCAACATCGTGTTTGGGGGACCCCCTGCTGGCTGTTGCCGGTGGGAACACCCCTGCCAAGAGTGTTTCCTCCGTAATAGTGGGGCCTCCGTAACAGTGGAACCCTCTGTTGGTTGAGGTTAGCAGGTAGAGATATCTGCTGGATCCTAACCCCCACCAACAGCATGAATAGAGGTTGGCGACTGCAGACTTAGGTTAAGAAAAGGTAAAGGACGCCTGACAGTTAAGTCCAGTTGTGAACGACTCTGGGGTTGCGGCGCTCATCTCGCTTTACTGGCTGAAGGAGCCAGCGTTTGCCTGCAGACAGTTTTTCCAGGTCATGTGGCCAGCATGACTAAGCCGCTTCTGGCAAAACTAGAGCAGCTCATGGAAACACCGTTTACCTTCCCGTCAGAGCGGTACCTATTTATCTACTTGCACTTTGACGTGCTTTCGAACTGCTAGGTTGGCAGGAGCTGGGACTGAGCAATGAGAGCTCCCCCCGTTGTGGGGATTCGAACCACTGACCTTCCATTCGGCAAGCCCTAGGCTCAGTGATTTAGACCACAGTGCCACCCGCATCCCTTAGACTTAGGTTAGCATCTCATAAAAATAATGAGCACCATGAATAGCTTAAGGGCAGCCTGATTCCTTATATCCCTAGCCAATCACTGAGCTCTTGGGGGGAGTCTTTGTTGATGATCCCCTTATGGCTAAGATGCACGTCTCATATCTGCTAGAAATCGTGCATTCAGTGTTGCAGGACCAAACCGGCAGAACTCCACCCCAACTGAGATTAGACCGGCACCCTCCTTGCTGAACTTCAGGTGCCTGGCAAATACTTTTTTCTTCCACCAGGCATTTTGTGTTTGATTCCATGATGAATTTTTGTATTGCTTATTCTCTACATGGTTTCTTGTGATGTACCCCGCTTAGAAATGCTAACTATTAAGCACTATGTAAATGCCTCAATACGTGAATGGCAGATACGGGTTCCAAGAAAGCCCAGTCCTATTTTTCCTGTGGGCTGTTCTACCTCCAGATACTCACAGCTTACAGACTGAGCGTAGCCAATAAACAAGGTAGACGATTCCTAATTTATAAATGGATAAGATCTGAAACTGTTGACGCTAATGAGATAAAAGCTCTTGTGGCACAGGTTCAGAGTAAACAGAAAGCAAAACAGAACCTTTGTCTCTATTCAGGGTTTTGGCTTCTTTTAGGACTGAGGGTGAGATGGCTATTTTATCTGTGCTTGAGTATCTTTCCAAAGTAACCCATCAGGCACCAGGAAATCTATAAGGAAACTAACCAGGCTGTGCTGCTCATCTTTTATTCTTCATAGGCAATCAATTTTAAGGCTTTCATTTCCAAACTTTACAGTGCATGATTCATATTTAATAAACAGGGCCATAATGAGATTAAAACATTGTCGGTTTCTGTAGAGAAGGGATCGGTGAGTTATGAGCCTGTTGCCTGCTCCATGGAAGTCTGCAGGCAATCTATAATCATGATTTGCAACAAGATTAGACCCCTTTCTGTTCCATTTCTTGTCATTCGCTTATCGCTAACCGAGGCTCGGCTCTGTGTTTTTAACTCGTCTATCTGTTCGGTCTCCTAAGACAGGCAGAGGACACAAAACTTGTCAGATTTATCCCTGGTGGTCGTCTATTGCTGCTAGTCGAGCTACACAAGGGACAAATCAAGCAGAAAAAGGCAAAGACAGACTTCTCCCAAGGTCAATCAGACACAGCCTGATCCTTGGGATTGCATGTCATTGAAACTGGCGGACTTGAGCCATGCCCAAATACAAAGGCATAGGCTGGTTTCTGTTCTTGCTGACATCTACTGTAACAGTCTGTACCAGAACCTTTGTGTCTATCTCTCCTGTTGAAGGCAGTTGCATGTGAGCATGCTGGTGATGCACTCTGTTCCAAAGAGGGCTACCATTACCCCTTGGGACCCGGATATTATTTTCCTGCTTGTGGATTTGCTTTGTCTCCCTATTTTCATTCAATTATACTTTTTTCCCCTCTTTCCAGAGCTTCAGAACCATGGCCTGAGATTTAGCCTGGATGCCTGCCGGGGTATATTGGCCCTCTTAGATGTATCCTGCCTTCTTGGTTTATTTTATTTTATTTTTTCCAGTGTATATCTTTATTGATTTAAAATAAATATATTTATGGGAAAACAGACAAAGAAACAAACAGACATACAGTCAAACAAACAAACAATAGAAAATCAGACAACAACCACAATATTAGAAACAACAAAATTAATATAACTAACATCCTTTATACTCTGGATACTGGAAGCAATTATAAAACTTATAAAGAAAAGAACTAAAAATGACTTCCAATTAATCCCACTGTACTTTATCAATTACCTTATACCGCACAATTACTTATTTCTTATATAGTTTCTTTTACCCTCCCTACGACCTTATATTTATACAATACAAGGATCAGTCGAATTCTGCCAAGATGTTTCCTTTTATACCATAGTTTTTAAAGTATTCTTTAAAGATTCTCCAATCCTTATAGACTTTTTTTTTTGGTTGGCCTCTTATCCTTCTTGTTGTCTTCTTGGTTTAACTGTAGCTGTGCTTTGGTGTTTGCCTGAACACACAAATGTCTATCTGTGGATGAGGGGCAAGGGGGCAGCTGACATGTTCCAGTGCCTGTTGCCCCACCTGCTCAATCCCTGACTCTTCCCATATTGAGCTGTGAATGTCCGCAGGAAGCTTTTACCTGTTTTTAGTTGAACAAGACTGGGGACCCTGACAAAGCAGGGGCAGGGGGAAATCTTGCAAGATGTTCCAGTTCTGTTCAAGCAAAAATGGCCTGCGGACCTTCCATGCTCAACATGGGAAGGTTAGGGACTGAGAAACAGGGTGAATTAAAGGGTGATGTCATGGATAGATAGGGTTTGCATGTCCTATGCTCCTGTTTTTGTCCACAGGTATAACCCACACATGAATACCTGATTCTGTCGGGCAGATAGCCAAATAATTGACCAATGTTTCGGCACTGAAGAAGGGGGTTGCTTTCTTTTGACAGTTTCCAAATATGGAATAGTTAAATATTCAACTCCTTTGAATTGTAGGGAAGTAGAGAAATGGGAAGGAGAAAGGCAGTGTGTGCAGGCAGAGTCCATAGGGCTTTCTGGGAGATCTCCCATCCAGGTGCTGAGCAAACTCAGACCAGCATAGTGTCAGTGAGATTGCTGGATCATGTCTCTCTGGACCAGACCCTGAGACCAGGGAGTGACTGTCTCCTTGCTCCTGAGCAGTAGTGTCTGAGTTTTTGACATTTGTTTTACTCTTCCCACCTTGTCCCTGTTTATTAGAATGTAGGCCTGCAGGTAGGGTGTCTTGTTTTAATTTCATGTAAGCTGCTCTGGGAGCCTTTTTGGCTGAACAGCAAGGTACGAATGCTATAAAATGAATGAATGAATGAATGAATGAATGAATGGTGGATGGTGAGTTGTTATAGTCTGGGTGGTTTTGCTCACCTGGCTTCCTCACACCATTGCCTGCTATTGCCCCTAAGTCTCATTCCCATTTCCTCCTATTGAACATCCTATTGAACATTCCCATTTCCTCCTATTAAAGCTACAGACCTTGGAAAGATTGGTAGCCTAGGAATGGGGTAAGGAGAGAAGGCAAGACTCCTTCTGAGATCTCCAAAGTATGCCAGGCAACCCGTCTGAGACCTTAGGAAGGATGTCTGGTGGAGGCCAGGATGTCTCTCTTTGTGACCAAGGCTGTGATCCCAACCCTGGGAGTAAACCCCATTGAATTCAATAGAACTTACTTCTGAATAGACACAGTTAGAATTGTGCTGAAAGTTGCCCTTATAAAGACTAAATCTGAGTAAACAGTGTATGTGCTTGTTTTAACTCTCATGAATACACAGTCCATAGTTTGCTTTGTGCTGTCTTTGAAGTTAATGAGAAAATGCTCATTGATTTTAGGAAAAGGAAGAGTAGCCCCTGGGGCAAGGTTCAAAGACCTCTTGAAATCAATAACGTAGCTTTGACTTTGGTTGCATTAGGCGCTAGGTCACATTTTTAGTAGAAGTACAAAAATCGAGAAATTCCCCCGGTGGCTTCTCTACTTTTAATCCAAAGTCTTTGACTTTGCTGCTCTCAGGTTGGTCTAATCAGAACTTTTCCAGGTTTGCACATTCTCCCCCAGCAACAAACTTCATTTGAATATTGTACACCTTGACCACACGATTCAGTTTAATAACACCGGCACCTTGAGCATTCAAGAATTCAGATGCCTGTGGAAGAAGCTGCTTCAGTACCAGGTAAGAAGTGTGTGTGTGTGTGTGTGTGTGTGCGCGCACGCGCCAATATGACAGTTGAGTGTGTGGAGATTCCATGGACAAGAACCTCATTACTTTCTCACCATTTTTTGAAGCTCCTCTAGTACTGGAGTTGAGAGGGAGGCAATAGGGGCAATTGCCTCCTTCCTCTCCCAGTTCTACTGTTGGTGCTGGCATAGGGAGGAGGGGTGGGGAAAGGGCATGTACCACTGCCCCTCTGAGGAGGCTGGGCCACCCCCTCTTTAAAATACCAGGGTGGCACCAGGTGGAAACCATACTGGGCAGATAGGCATTGTGACCTGCCTCCTCAGCCTCAAAGCTGTGCTTTTTCTGGAGATCCCTGGGGTCCTATAATTGCCAGTGGTGGAAAAAAGAATTTCCGATAGGTGAGCAGGCAAGGATGTTGTGTGTGTCCCCACCAGGCGTCTACTAGGTCACAAGCAACTAATAAAGGTTAAGCTTAACCTGGCGTCAGGTTCTACCCAACCCAACCACTTTTTTTACTGTTTTAAAAATACTGCCTAACGGGGTGTAGACAGAATTCTACCCTGGCTGCCAGAGGTTTTTGTGGCATCCAGAAAAAAAGGTTTTTTTAAAAGAGCTGCTGTCAAGCAGGCAACATTCGGTGGGTGGGGGGGGAGAGAAAAAGAAGGAAAGAACCCACTGCTAGCCACCACAGCCAGCTTAAGCACCTTCTCCCCCTGCCAAAATCTTTCATGCAACAGTCCTGCTCACACGCCAGAAAAAAGTAACATAGAACCACCACCCCATTTGCCACCTGCAGATGGGAGTGGCAAAGATAGGAGTGCCATTTTGAAGTTCAAAGCTAGCCCAAACATTTCAACAGGAAACTAAACCCTGCAGCCTACATAAATTAAGCAAACAGGCACAATCTTTCTTGTTGTGCATAATTTAGTCTATTGTTTTGTACTGTTTTATTCTGCTTCTTCTAGGCATGGACAGGAACAGGGCAATGTTTTGGCCTCCGTCCTGCCTTGAAATTGCTCCCTCCCCATTGAAGGATGGGAAGCTAAAGGTGGGCTAGGAACTTGAGCTGCATCAAACCTTAACCAGATGCTCTGTCACTGAGCTATGACCTCTCCCACCCCTCTCTCTCTCTCTCTCTCTCTCTGTGTGTGTGTGTGTAGTCCTGTTCTTAGCTTGTGTCCAGATGGGCAGAAAGGTAGCCAGACAGACACAGAGAGGCAGATATATTTCCGATGGTCCTATCAATTCTCCGTCTGCAGCAAAATGGATAACTCTGTTGTTTTGCTTTTCAGGCTAGGCAGTCTGCCAGCATTGTCTGCTTCCCTCAGGTGGCCTCGGGACCTCTGCACCCTTTGCACTGAATGAAGAAAGGGGTGGCAGTGGTGCAGGTGTAGCCAGCTGAGGGGTGAATGGGTTGGTGTGCCCTGCTTACTTAGTTATCTTCCTCTTTATTTTTTTGTGACAGGCAGTTTTCCAGAAAAATGATATTCAGCAAACAGGAACCTTGGATCAAGTAGAGCTGCAAGCATCTGTGCAAGAATTAGGTGAGGAAAAAGGAAGAGTTTTGTTTTTGTAGCATTCAAGCTTGCAGACTCCCCCCAGGCGTTTGGGTGGCTTCTGTGAGCTAGTCTTGTGTTCTTTGGTCCTTATGGGATCCAGTCTGACTTTTCCCCAGAAAGAGCTGCAGGTTATAAATCAGAGATGAGGACCCTATGACTTTCCAAGTAGAGCTCCCATTAACTCCAAGTCCTGTGGCCAGTGATCAAGGATGATGGGAGTTGTAGTCCAGCGACATCTAAGGGCACCACGTTGGCCCTTTCCCCTGCTGTAAGATACGCTGGGCATGTGCTGAAGCCTTCTGTGCTGGACTGATGCTGTGATATAGATTACATAGCCTTCCTAGGTCAGTGATGGAGAACCTGTGGTCCTCCAGATCTTGTTGGGCTTGCATCTCCCAGCCAGCTTGCATCTCCCAGCCAGCATCCCAATGACGATGGAAGCTGTAGTCCAACAATATCCTCTAAAGGCAAATTTGAGCAATAAAACATTTGAGCCAGAAACACAGTTTTCAGCATTGTCCCATCATCAGGTTATCTGTTTGGTTGCAGGTTGCTCTGAGTTGCCTAGGGCAAGATAAAGTGGCTAGCAGTTTTAATAAATAATAATTATCCATGATAAGGGCTTGGAATCTACCTCTTTCTACCAGCTTCACTCATGGGATTCCCATTTATCCATAGAGTGGTGTCCTAATTAATCTGATGTCCCACTACTCACATTTGCTATGTGTCAGTCAAGTACAGTGGTACCTCGGGTTAAGTACTTAATTCGTTCCAGAGGTCCCTTCTTAACCTGAAACTGTTCTCAACCTGAAACACCGCTTTAGCTAATGGGGCCTCCTGCTGCCGCCACACTGCCGGAGCACGATTTCTGTTGTCATCCTGAAGCAAAGTTCTTAACCCGAGGTACTATTTCTGGGTTAGCGGAGTCTGTAACCTGAAGCGTATGTAACCACTGTAGTTAGTATATAACCCAATGCAAGCTGCACAGATCTGTTTTGCCAGATCTCTGAATCGTCACACATTTTAGATCAGACCAGATAAACTGCACGATCAAAGAACACAGTAGCAGATTCATTAACCTACGCTGCTCAGACCTGTTTTTGGAAATGTAAGTTGTTTGTCCCACTAGATTTTTCTCGAAATGAGCTGAATTGAATCTGAGGATTAATTTTCAACCACAAACTTTTGGCTCTTCAATAATTATGTCTGATTCAAAAATGGCTGTAAGGTAAATGGTGGCAAGGTGCGGGGAAAGCAGCTTTGTTAAATGAGATTAGTACAGTTCACAGTGATGCTGGAACTGGAGATTAATTAACTTAATTTAGTTTGAAACTAACATATAGAAAGCACTATAAAAGTTACACTTCAAAACTGTATACGAAAAGAAATGAAATTAGAATTCATTACAATTCACTTGCTACACCGTATGATAACAATAAGCCAATCATCACCGGAAGCGTAATGCAATTAAAAATACAGCATTTTGAACATCAAATTAACAAACTTTGTGTGATTAAATTAAGAAATGCATTATTAATTGATTTGGTGCGCTTCCGTCGCATATTCCATTGCTCTTCATGTAACAGATGCTTAAATCCCAGTGATTCTCAGCGCTTTACTTTCATGTGCTTCATGGCAGTAATTTCTTAATTGATGGCATGCAAATTTCTGTGTGGTTCTGGTGAAGGGAGGGATGGCTTCCTGACTGAAGCACAGTTGTCTTCCAGCATCATCACTGCCACCATTCCCACTGTCTTCATATGTAAGGCCAGTGTGGTTAGTGTCAGCCTATGACCGGCAAGAACTAGGTTAAAATCCCCACTCAGCCACAAAACGTATTGGGTGATTCTGGCCTGTCGCTATATTTTAGCCTCTCCTACCCCACTGAGTTGTTTGAAGGGATTCAAGATGGAATAATATCAATGTAGTAAATAATATAACTAGGACTATCCACAATCGAGTCCAGCTTTCTGCCCATGGCAGTGCCTGGGTTCTGTCAGGGTGCTGTCAGCGGCTCCCAGCTGGTTGCCCAGGAAAGTATAAAGACAAGAGAAAGTTTCTTACCGTCCTTTTTTATTTCAATTTTTACAGAGAGAGGCTGTAGAACCCAACCTCTTGGATAATGGCCTTGTCCCAAGTAAATCTCCACCCCTCGTCTCTCCCACTTCCTCATTCATCATTCTCATTGTTTCTTCTACGGGTGCTGCTACGTGCCCTCTGTCTTTGGGCTCTTTGCTCTCCTACTTTTAAGGCTTGCCAGGTTCTGGGAGATGGAGGGTTGGGAACACTTTCTAATAACTTGTCAGCTGGGTGTTGTTCCGGCTTTCCCATGATTTCCCAGCTTTCCCCCTCATCTGCCTCTGAGCTGCTATCTCCCTCAAATGCCTGTTGTAAATCTATACTGTCTTCCTCTTCCTCCTCCGTGGAAGGGTCAGGATGGGGAGAGGCGGTCTCCACCATTCCCCCTCTGCCGAGTCCCTGACAGGTTCACACCCCTCTGATTAAAAGCAGCATGGTGTTTTTGTAGCCGTAAGAATAAATGAGCAGTTTAGCCACAATAGGTGCTAAACGTCCAGCAGCTTTCTTACCAAATGTGACTTAAGTGTTCTTCACTGGGGGGAAAGGTGGATAAAATTAAATATATGAAAAGCTGTCCAGAACTGTTTGCACTGTGACTGCATGTGGAAAATCTGAACAGTAAGCCTAAATGTCTTTGGGGGTTTTCTTATCTTACTAAAGGAATCTCCCTCAGCAATGAACTCTGCAAGCTGCTGGCCATGCGATATGGGAACCCTGGTCTGAACATCACCTTTGAGAGCTTTGCCTGCTTCATGCTGCGTGTGGAACTCATGATGGGTGAGGAGGCAGATGACTATTTCTCTCATGCGGGACTCCAAGCAAAATTGGGTTTCAGTCGCAAGTCCTCTGTCTGTAAAATAATGACTGTCTTTGGACATTAAGGAGAGAGCAACACTGTGCATTTAAAGCACATTCAACACACTTTCAAAGCACATGACTTGCCCCAAAGAATCCTGGGATCTTTAGTTTCTTAAGGGTGCTGGGAATTGTAGCTTGGTGAAGGGGAAACCACAGTTCCCATTATTATTATTTGGTGGAAAACATGCACTCTAAATGTGCATTGGATGTGCTTTAAATGGATGGTGTGGATCTGCCCTAAGACAAATGAGAGATTACCAGAATGAGCCCAGGTGAGCCATGGGCTCCCACACTTCCTCTGTTCTTCTCAAGCATGGCTATAAGAAGCATTCCTTTCCTGGGAATCATCATATCAGTTTCCCTCATTTCTTCCTTTTGCAGAGGCCTTTCACAATACGAGTAAAGATGGCAAAGGAATATATCTTCAAGAATCTGAGGTAAGGACACACACCTTTTTTCCCAGCTGTAGTACAGTGCCATCTGTTATGGAGAACAAGGTCTCCTGTTTAATATCCCAATCAAGGGAGCACCTCATTGGTTGTATAACTCTCAAGTGATTGCAGTGATTGACAGGACAATGAAACCCTTGGGTCAAGAGCTCTTCCAGGAGCTTGGCTTCCTAGGTTCATCTGTGGGGATGGAGGGTAATTTTATACAGTCCACATTATAAAGCAAACCAACTTAGTCTGCAACTCCAGAACGTCCAAGTAAACCAGAAAGCAGTTAATAAGTGGATTGCACACTTCTCTGAATTTTGCAGTGTGCACTAAAATATATCTAATACATGGAAAATGCAAAACTACAACAACCCCAAACCACCCTTCCTATTTTAGGGGGAAATTTGTACAAACTGCATATTTTAGGTACAATTTAAATGCAGATTTTTTTGTTTATTTCTTATAAAAATCTGCAATGAATGGAACAAACTTATTTCTGAATATGTACAAAACCGTCAGAACAGAAATAAGTTGATTCATTTGATCTAGAGACAGTTACTGAATGGTTGAGCTCAGAAGGGACTACACTGACTACTCTGAACTACACCAGGCACGCCATATCTGGGAACGATAGCAAAGTCTGGGCCACAAGACCAGAGCTGCTCCTGCCACACAGGTCTTCCTGAAGTTGGCTGGGTTAATGGCAGAATTAGCATAAGAGGAGGCTTTGATGGAGTTGCCCTTCTTCCTTGCTGATGGCAGTGGTGGTTCTGCCTATCTTGGTCTTGATGGACCAATAGATAGATCTGCCCTAGGGGCGCCCACCTCCATGGACCAGGTCCTGTGAAGGAACCAATAGCAATGACTAGGTCAGGTATAATAGGAGACCATTTCATAGGCTAGCCCCTAGCGCAGTAGAGCAGGATAAAACCATTTTTAATGCATTTCTCCTTGGTATTCGCTAGTGGATGATGATGACTCTCTATTCATGAAGTAAAGCAAAGGAGAAGAGTTGAGCCAAGCTACCTGGCCCCTTCACAAGGACAGAAGTGACATCCTTTTATCTGTATACGGGGGACATTTTGAGTCCAGCTTTATGACTCTGGTGGAATTTTGGAAGAGTTTCATTCACTGGGAGCAGCTCCACTGATGTCTCTTGGGATTGCTTGTGGGTGCAGCATGGACAATGGCCAGAAATCATAAGGTCATGCTTCTAGCATATTGACTGAGCCTTCTTTAAAAAGCGCTTCCCTTAGAAGAAGCAAAAAAATCCTGAGTTACTGATCAAGCACCTGGGTGACAATGAAGGCTTATGGTGTTAAGTCACGCGTCATTTCAATTCGTTGAGGAGTATCTGCTGTTAAACCAGGATGGAATAGTTATATGGCTGCAGCAAGGAACAGTGAGCCAGTGAACAAATACGAAGTGGCCTAAAGGGCCTTGCAGCAGCTCATTTCCAAAATGTACTTGCCTGAGTTGTAAGATCGGCTGTGGAGGCACTGCTCGCCATCTCATCGTGGCAGCTCAGACAGGCAGTTACAAGAAACAGGGCCTTTTCAGTAGTGGCCCCAAAGCTTTGGAATACCTGGTAGAGATCTCCCTGGGCTCTTTATAAGTGTCTTTTTAGGTATCTGTTTCAACAAGCTTTGAATATCTGATTAATCTCACGGGCTGCTACTTTTAAAATGATATGGTTATTGTTGCTAAAACACTGTTTTCGGGTTGCTTTTAAAATGAATTTTTGTTATATTTATAATTTTGCTTATTCTTGTATTTATTATTTTGTAAGCCATTTTGAGAGCTTTTAATAGAAAAGTTTGGTTAAAAATGAAGAACATTTATACTGACAGTCCTTCAGATTGTCTGCAAAGGTTAGGGTTCACATGTCCTTTGAGGTCATTATGGAGTGCCTTCTCCAGGCATCCCACAATGCCTCATCCTCCCTTTGTTTCCAAGCTTGGCTTTGAACATTGGGCAGCACTCCCCAAATTACTTTCTTCTCCATTTGCATTTCCATTTGGGGCTGGAGTAAATAGCTGGCCTACTTACATCAGCCCCAGTACAGTGTATTTATTTATTTATTGCTATTTTTAATTACTCATTGTAAGTTTATCGGAAAGGGTAGGATAATGAAAACAGGCATGCAAGAATCTGTGCAGTCCTTTGGGATTTGGCAGAGATGGTCACAAGAACTTTAGTTTGCCCCTTTCTGTTGCTTCCTGATGAGCAAACCACTGTTATCCTATATTTTTCAGCTGAGGTCAGTGATAAAATTGCTCTTCAGTTGCCACTGCCTGCACATGTTGCTTTCAGAGCAGAATCAGGGCCTAAACTTTAATAGCCAAGAAAACCCATGACTATGAAAGAGGAAAATCCTTCCCAGAAAGTGGCTAAAATGCAGCTCTCAGTGGCTTCATTGGGTTTGGGATTCCACGCTGCAAAACTTTTATTATTATTATAATAAAAAATACAGTTTGTAATGTATTGCACAGGTTATGAAGGAAGCTATGAGATAGCTCAATGAGACTCTTAACATGGGTTTGAGCCCCACATTGGGCAAAAGATTTTTGCATTGCAGGGGGTTGGACTAGATGACCCTCATGGTCCCTTCCATCTCTACAATTTATATGAGTCTCTGATTCCATGGAAATGGCTATAGCCAAGTACATATGTTCCATTGTGCTCCAATCATTTTATGTATCTGATTTTTGTACACGCTTGTGCATTGACTCCTTTTAACACAACTACGTGTAATTGCAGCATTATTGTGTGACGATTCATGCACCCCGAAGAATCCTCTGCTGATTATTCAATAAAGTTTTTTATAATGCTAAGTAGCACTGAGATGTGTGAAAAGAGGTCTTTGTCAACTCTTTGTATGCCTTAACTCGTACAATGCAAACTCTGTTCTGTGGATCGCAAGGAAAGTGTTCTTGCCATGGTGGTTTCCTTGACATTTTTGAAAATTTTATGTATCTGGCAGAGAAACACTTCCAGGATTCTGAAGATATGACTCCTGTTTTCCTTGTGCCTGGTGGGAAACAACACACAATCTATCTTGGGGGGGGGATGCATTATATTGAGAGGTACTTCTACACCATCACACTTTTCACTGGGTGCATTAGCAGAAAGAATTACAAGGACATCACTGTGTAGCTGGTAAGCTGGATGAGAAGTCTTTCACAGAGACAGAAGAACAATGTGGAAAACAGAGCATACAACACAATGAATAGAGAAGGTAGGTCGATATGGCAATTAATAATATAGAAATCAGGAGTAATTCAAGAATCTAGCCCCCAAGTTCTCAGAATACAAAAGAGTTCACCTTGTATGTATAATACATCTGGAGGCATAATAAAATGCATGTAGAATTTGGAAGGCTCTTATATCCTTTTGCATGAGGTCGATTTTTCGGCAACGTCAGTGGTCTACAACTATTGAACTTATTTATTCAGATGTTCTTTGCATAGATGATAGGAATCTAGCAACATCTAGAGGGCCACAGGTCCTAAAGTGCTGGTCTAGGACTTGGGAGACCAGAGTTCTATTCCCCATTCAGCTATGAAGCTCGCAGGTGACATTGGGCCAGGCATTGTCTCTCAGCTTAACCTGCCTCACAGAATGGTTGTGCTAAAATGGGGAAGAAGAAAGCCACGCACTTTATGCTCCTTGCTGGAAAGGGGGGCGATCAATTAATAATAATAAAATGAATAAATTAAAAGTGGCTTTTTAGAAAACCCAGCTCTTGTCACTAGCGCTTATTCAGACAAGCTTCTGGACTGGGTCCTTTCGACAAATAGTGAGGATTGGGCCTATTACATCTACCTCCCTGAAGCTCAGCACCGGCACTCCACAGGGGTGCGTGCTAAGTCCATACCTGTATTCGTTGTATACATATGGTTGCATTTCATCTGACCCATCTACTGCAATTATTAAGTTTGCTGATGACACCACCATAATGGGTTTAATTACAGGCGGAGATGAATCTGTGTACGGGGGAGGTACACAGGTATCCACATGGTGCTCAGAGAACAATCTGAACCTAAACATTGGCAAGACAAAGGAGATGGTGTTGGACTTTCGGAGGAATAGAGGGGAGCTAGCCCATTGTATATTGGGGGGGCTGTGTGCAGAGAGTCTCTTGCTTTAAATTCCTGGAAGTCCATCTTAATGAAGACCTTACTTGGAAGGTCAATACAGCCCAGGTAGTTAGGAAGGCCCAACAGACACTTCATTTCCTTAGGGTTTTGTGAAAGAACAATGTTAGACAGCAACTGATGATTTCCTTCTATCGGTCCACGATAGAAAGTGTTCTCTCATACTGTATTACGGTGTGGTATGCTGGTTCAACAGCCATGGACAGAAAGTCCCTACAGAGGGTGGTGAAGACAGCACACGATATCATGGGCTGTCCCCTGAGTCCGCTAGATGTTATTGCAGGAGACCGTTGCCTCAGAAGAGCGAGGAACATTCTCAGAGATGACTCACACCCTGGCCAGCACCTTTTTAATCTCCTGCCCTCGGGCAGGAGATATAGAAGCATGATAAGCCACACCAACAGGTTAAAGAATGAATTGATTTTAGAATGTATTTCAATTAATTGATTGTGATTTTATGTAAACTGTGTTATTTTTACTGTTGTTTCTTTTTTAAAAAAATATTTTATTAAGGATTTACTGTTGTTAGCCGCTCTGAGCCCGGCTTTGGCTGGGGAAAGCGGGATATAAATAAAATTTATTATTATTATTATTATTATTATTACTAAGAACAGTTTCTACCCATGGGCCGTGATGCTGCTGAATGGAAGACAGCAACATTGCAGCTGACGTTCAGGATTGGTGGTCGTACGACAGCACAGAGAGTGTAACAAGGACGGAGAGATGGGGGGGGCTCATTTAATCTCACTGTAAACAAGTGGTACAGTGACAATAAAGTATTTCTATTAGAGATATCTGCCCCCGCCCTGCCAGATATGCCATGATTAGAGAAAGGCTGATTTTCCTAGCGAGTAGCTTTTTGCAGAATGAAATGCTAGAAAACGACGGGCTCCCTCCGATTTGGCTTCCTGTTGCGTCTCACACTGGATTGCACCTGAAAAGGAACCTTGCCAAGCTTGAAGTTCAATTTATCAGCACAGTCAAGATTGATTTGTTACACCACCAATGCTGAGGAAATGAATGTCTCCATTCTATTCCCATCCAATCCCAGCAGATCTTTGTTTTCCTCAGGTCACCTGTGTAATGTAAGACGCTGACGTTCCTCAGATAAAGCAGGGAGCGGCGGAGGAGGAGGAGGAGGGGGACTTCTGCAAAATACAAATTAACTGCCTGCATCCAGCAAATACATTACCAAAAATTAATGCTGGTTGGAATGTGAAGCGGAGCCCAGATACAACCTGTGTCTGGCAATGAGGCAACTGCAGCTGCATGATATGGGCGGGGGTGGGGTGGGGAGCAGAATATGGCAACTACTTTAAAGGGCAGTATTTGAATTAAAGCCAACATGAACATCTACATTTTGGCATTTTGTTCACAAAGGCCTTTGACTCTTGTCATCTGGTTTGTTATCATGAGTCTGTATAAATATGCTCTTAGTTCAGCTGGCTGTTTTCAAAATCAGTTTTTTAAATATTATTGGTATTGTCATTTGACTGCTACTATGTTTTGAGATACCTAATACTGTCGTTAGCTACCTATTTATTTATTTATTTATTTAGGTGATTTATAGACTGCATTTTTGGCAAAAACCATTGCCAAAAGGGCACGTTCAGATGTGGAGAAAATTGCATTCATTTTCCTGATTTTAATTTCAGTGCTTTTGCCACATTTTCTACTTTTACTTTCACGCTACAATGCCTGTTGTGGACTTGTGGCTTTTCAACCAGTACACCATCATGTTGCGCTAAATTTACTCCCATTGGTGAGGGTGTGGTGTGATACAGCAACACACGTCATTGCACACCATGGCTACTTCCTCACCTTTTCCACACATCCAGTGTGGAGAGCCAGTGTGGTGTAGTGGTTAAGAGCGGTGGACTCATAATCTGGTGAACCGGGTTCGCGTCCCCGCTCCTCCACTTGCAGCTGCTGGGTGACCTTGGGCCAGTCACACTTCTCTGAAGTCTCTCAGCCCCACTCACCTCAAAGAGTGTTTGTTGTGGAGGAGGAAGGGAAAGGAGAATGTTAGCCGCTTTGAGACTCCTTCGGGTAGTGATAAAGCGGGATATCAAATCCAAACTCTTCTTCTTCTTCATCATCCAGGCCTCTCTGTTCCCACATCATTCCCCCATGAAAACAGCAGGAAAGAACTGCATGCTGGTATACGGCCCCAATTCCCATCACTTAACTCCTGCAATTTTACAGGTTACGAACGTTGCAAATGGATTCCCCACCCCCAACCCCCAGAATCAAATAATATGGAAATGAGTGCTAAATAAGCACCATATTCCACTAGTTTTCCAGAAGTGGCTTTTACATGGTGTAAAAGCTGAAATATATTGTGGAAGTTAGAGAAATGGGGAAATGCAGTAAACTGCTGTGTGAATGCAGCTAAAGTATAATAAAGTATTACAAGTCATAATCAAATTACAGTGGTACCTCAGGTTAAGAACTTAATTCGTTCCGGAGGTCTGTTCTTAACCTGAAACTGTTCTTAACCTGAGGCACCACTTTAGCTAATGGGGCCTCCCGCTGCTGCTGCATTGTCGCCAGAGCACGATTTCTGTTCTCATCCTGAAGCAAAGTTCTTAACCCGAGGTACTATTTCTGGGTCTGTAACCTGAAGCATTTGTAACCTGAAGCGTCTGTAACCCGAGGTCCACCGTTCGAAACAGCACAATTAATAACTGAACTATATCACCCTGAACAAAGAGCAGAAGGTGCAAGGTGCCAGAGCATCAGTCTGAAGCCCTTGAGAGTCACTGCCAATCGATGTAGACAATACTAAGCCAGATAGACCAATGGCCTGGCTCAGTATAAGGCAGCTTCCTTTGTTGCTATGGGTTTGTGCCGGACATTTAGAATATCTAACCAATGAAGCATGCCAAACCTCTTTTTTGGGGTGGGGTGGGGAATACTCCAGAGGGTTGGAGAACTCCTTTTTCCTGTGATGTTTCTAGCTGACAACAGGCAAAGTCTCTTCTAAAGATCACTTCAGCTGATTTGTCCTGTTGTAGGGGACGGGGGTTGCTAGGTGTCTTGGTCCCAAGTGGTTTAGAATTTTATACATCAGCAGTAGAACCTTGAACTTGTCTTGGTAGAAATAGGCAGCCAGTACTGATCTTTAAGCATATAAAGTAAAAAAAATATAAATAAATAAAAGGTAAAGGACCCCTGGATGGCTAAGTCCAGTCAAAGGTGACGATGGGGTGTGGTGCTCATCTTGCTTTTTAGGCCAAGGGAGCCAGCATTTGTCCACAGACAGCTTTCTGGGTCATGTGGCCAGCATGACTAAACAGCTTCTAGCGCAATGAAACACCGTGACAGAAACCAGAGCACACGAAAATGCTGTTTACCTTCCCACCACAGCGGTACCTATTTATCTACTTGAACTGGCATGCTTTCAAACTGCTAGGTTGTCAGGAGCTGGGACAGAGCAAGGGGAGCTCACTCCGTCACGGGGATTCGAACTGCCAGCCTTCTGATCGGCAAGTCCAAGAGGCTCAGTGGTTCAGACCACAGCACCACCAGCGTTATACGACATATAAAGTGCCATATATGCATGACTAGATGGCACCACTCAGTAGTCTACCTGCAGCATCCTAATTGCAGCTTCCAAACCAAGCACAATTGCAGCCAATGCATGGGTCACAACACCTTTGAGAATATACCTGCTGTTGGGGGTGCTCTGTGTGGCAACATCAAATTTTAGCAGATCCCCATTTTCATCACCCACATTCAAGTTTCATTTAGAAACAAACTGGATGCCATAAGGGAAAAACCAAAGGTCTGACATCTTACCTGAAGAAATTGATGTGCATTAGATTTAGGACAAACAGGACACTTCATCCCACAATACAAGTTGGACAAGAAGAGGCTGTTGAAGGCACCATTACAGAAGTGAGGTTGTGGGGGAAGCTGGGACTTCTATGTTTTTGGATCCATGTATTTTAAAGTGACAGGATGGAGCCCGATTTAAGAAGCAACCCAATTCCAAGGAATTTGAGAGATGTTTGGGATCATTGGTAGAATGGATTATTGATAGAATGGATTATTGTTGTTCATCCAGTGTGGAAGGATCCTTCACAGGAAGTAGCAATACATCTTACTTCCTATTAGAAGCTCACAGCCTACGGCCAAGTCCATGTATACAGGGAGGGGGGGAAACAACACGAATTCTGTACCAGCACAACCCAAATTCTATTAGAAG